TAAACGGAAACCATTTTGCGCAGAGGGAACGAGGGAATGAAGTAACAACCGGGTGATGCTCACCGGGGAAAAACACCTAACCAGTGATAAACAAACACTTTAGTGTGGCATACGTAAAGGGACATACGTTCACTGATTTTATTTGGTAGCTTGCTTGGATGGGAATGCTAACTTAAGGCACAGCCATTTTTTTTTTTTTTAAGTCTTTTTTAAAAGAGGAAACGGGGGAAAGACCACGTTATAAGGAAAAGAACAAATCAGCTTAAACACATGATTATAACCGCGCGGGCCATTCGATGCATCATTTCGAGTCCTACATAGGTGCTAGCTAGTTTGCTGTGCTGCACACTTATAAATTAAAAATATTTAGATGGAAGGTTCATTCAATTTTGAGCGGGGGAATTGTAACATCCCCGGATCTGTTATTTCCACGCAAGGTTGGTAAATTTCCTTTGGCTTATTTTTTTTTTTTTTTTCTTTCACCCCATTTTTTGCTTTTATAACTAGCCCATGAAAAAGTGGCATATGGTACGCACAGCTTACACAACTGGATTTTCATTTTCGTATTTTGCCACGTGTTAGCTTAAAAATGAGTAACAATATAGGAGAAACATTTTACTCGTATTCGCGACGCGGTAAACGTTCAGGCAACAATTTCACGTATGCTAATGGCACGGTGCGTTGCCTATATGTATGTAATATAATGTATATATTCGCCCTGCGTTTTGTGAAGATTATTTACTTTCGTTTACCCCTTTTTTACACTGCATGATTATGATTTTTATTTTTGAGGGGACACATTTGATTCGTCAAGGGTATGATAATGCGCTTGTTGGGTTCCCGAATGTCCCAACAGGGTATGCCTCCCCAAAAAAAAAAAAAAAAAAAAACAAACCGCGCATACGGCGTCAGAGGCGACTAAGGGGTTACGGCCGTTTTTCGTAGCACAGTGTTAAGCAGAATGTGGTCACATATTAGGAAAAAACAAAAATAATTAATTAATATTAAAATAAAAGCAAACTTTTGTCGGATTGCTTAGTTGGTTAGCCATTTTTATGATTCTTCATTTGGAAAAGAAGCAAGTAATTGGTTCATTGTTCTTCCTCTTTTGTAAGCAGAGCAACAAAAAAAAAAAACAAAAAAAAAAAAATGGAGGGCTACCCAAAATTTTGTGCGCAGTGACCGGGGAAAAGGGCTATGCGGATTGTCCTTCAACCCTACGGTGCCTAGTGAATTAAGCGCCCCCGACATTACACGATACGCGTGACGTGGCACATGAGATATGGACCAAAACCGCGTTAAAATAATTAACAAATCGGTTGCCCTGCCGGAGATGAGAACGCCCTGTTTGCGCATCACCATGAGCGTGATATAAATTCGCAGGCGCACGTAATGCATACCATTAACGGCGTGTATTTAAATAACCGCAATATTCTCTTTTGGCTTTTGTTTTCCTTGTTTTCTTTTTTTTTCGCTTCTTTTGCTCTTCGCTCTTTCGCCTTTTTTTCCATCGCCAAAATTTAAAAAAAGATTCGATTTTTTTTTTTTTTCGCTTAAACAAATTACAGCAACGCAAGCTTTGAAGAAAAACAATGTTCCCCTTGAAGCAAAAAAGAAACAAGCAAAATTGACGCAACGCATAAACGCGTAAAAGCATACATCATCATCTATAAACCGAACAGAGAGAAAAAGCTTTTTCAAAACCATCCGTATTTAAAGTGTTTCAACGACTGAGATAAGATGGCAACAACTTTGGATGTTCAGGTATGTTAAATGTCAGAGGAGATTAAGCCAGAGCATATGTATGCAGAATTCAGAGTGGGGTACTTATGTGGGAATTCAAAATGAAAATGAAAAAGTGAGATGGGGATTTCTTAACAAATTCTTGATGAGCTCACTGCTATGACGTTACATTTTGGAAACACCTTTTGGCTGTTTGGAAAAAAAAAAAAACGCATATTTTAGCCTGAACTGTTCAGGCGAAAATGAACAAATTTTGACCTTGTTGCATTTTATAGCAAAAAAAAATGTTCCACACCCGTACCAAAATTAATTTTCTTTTCCCCCCCTTTTTTTTGTGTTACTTATGTTTAGCATGAGAGGGCCTACCAAAAGCAGGAGGGAGCGAGTTTTTTCAACTCCAAGAAAATAAAGAAGGGCTCCAAGAGCTACACGAGGTATTGGAAAAAGGTCGGCTTAGGATTCGCCACCCCGAAGGAGGCCAAGGAGGGCGTGTACGTGGACAAGAAGTGCCCCTTCACCGGAAATGTTGCCATCAGAGGACGTATATTAAAGTAAGGAGAAAAAAGAAAAACGAAAAAAGGGAAAAATGGACCGAACGGCTGTGGTGTCGGGCCGAAAGGGAGAAAGAGCAAGTTCATATCTCTTTATCACCCCATTTGCCGCCTACAAAGAGCAAGTCTTAATTTAATTTTTTTTTTTTTTTTTACAAACACAGGGGTATGGTAATTTCGAGCAAAATGAAGAGGACAATTATTATAAGAAGGAATTACCTACATTATGTAAAAAAGTACAACCGATTTGAAAAGAGACATAAGAACATCCCATGCCACTGCTCTCCATGTTTTGATGTGAAGGAAGGAGACATCGTCACCGTCGGACAGTGCAGGTAACCCATTTTTTTAGCCCATCGAGCGCATTGCATACACTGTTAACTAAACAATTTATTTCTGTACAAACAGCCCATTTAATTTATAACAGAGAGCTTTTTTCATTCCTTTTTTGTTTTGAGGCAACTTTTGTGTACATTTTGGATTTTGTACATATTTTCGAGCGAAGCACATATGTTTCCACTTTGCACGTTTTAATTTTTTTTTTGTTTTTTTTTTTTCCACCAATTTCGCAGGCCCTTGTCCAAAACTGTACGATTCAACGTGTTGCATGTTGAGAAGCACCAAATCTTTGGAAGTGCCAGAAAACAATTTGTCCTCTTTTAATCACACGGAGTGTAGTGCTTACGAATGTATATACTTGCATGTGCGAATGTGTAAAAATTGCACATTCTATATTTCCTGTGCACACGGCTTGAAACGTTTTATGAAATGATTGCAGAGGATTTTCCCCCTCTTTTTTTTTTTTTTTTTTTTTTTTTCCTCATTTAAAGAAAAATTAACTGAACAGGCTAGTAAGCATATATAAGTATAATTAAGTATGAATAAGTACCAATGAGCACAAATACGTTTGTATATACGTACGTGCTCACAAGAGGGACATGCCCACACACTCTGTCAATTTTGGTGTATGCCGTTCAAGGGTAAACACCTCCCATGAGTTGCGCGCCCTCTTTTCACAAAGCCCGTCCTGCGTTGATAAAAATGCATAAAAGGGTGTAACCTGGGGCGGGGAGCTAACCCGTTTGAAATGCCTCAAAAAAATGTACAAATTTCGAAAAAAAATGTACGTAAACGATTTCCTGTTATGATCAAGTATACACCCCCGTTTCCAACTCACCAATAGGGACAGCACACCGGTCGCCATCCCACTAGCTGGGCGAAGGAAAAAAAGGTTGCACACTTGGCATATACCTACGCTCACACCATTGTGTACCTTCCAAGTGCGCAACTTTTATATGAAAATAAAGATAAAATTCGCACGGTAATAGCTTTTTCTTACATGTTTGCTTCGCGCAAAAAGGGTGAAAAACTGTGGGGGGAGCAGCATATTCCAGCCTATACATGCGCCTTTGTGCAAATCGGGATGTTGGGCAATACTTATATGTATGACCATCGAAGTTGCTGCACATTGGACATGTTTTTTTTTGTTTTTTTCCGCAAGGGGGAACGCATATTGGGGTGAGCGATAGGAGTATCACTAAAAGTAAAATCAGGCAAAATGTTAAACAAAGCTACCGAGTGTGTATATCTCTACATTGGTTAAGCGTACAATTGGACATTTTTTTTTTTTTTTTTTGCACTAACTCCGTTGTGCCTCCCCCTTGGGCATGTATCATGCGTTCACGACCGACTCAGTCCTTGGTTCCCTTTTCCAGCGACAAAGATGAACAATCGCCTGAACGTGGTATAGAATTAAATTGCACATGAAAACTTATCCATTATGTAAAAACACGTTTTTGCTTTTTTAGGTTTTACATTTGCGCGACTGACGTGTTACACTTGCCTTGTTCGTCTGCCCTACTTACCATATTTGTATTTTTTCCCCTTGTACCTTTGCCTTCCACTTTTGCGTTTCTCTAGTGTATCTTTTTTCCTCACATGTACTCTGTGTGTGTTTTTTTTTTTTTTTTTTTTTGAGTGCTCGGGCTTGCCCAACAAATCGAGCCCCGAATTGTCCCTTGCGTGACGGTGAACTGCACCCAACAGGGAAGGAAATTACACTTCAACGGTTAACCAATTCGTCAATTTTGCACCATCATTGTTTACACTGATCATAAAAAAACACCAGCTTCATGTAAGCATGCATACTTTTGTGTAATCTCCCTCCGAAAAGGGAAAAAAAAAAAAAAAAAAAAAAAAGCGTCATCATATTTGCATTAATCTATTTTTTGCGCAAAGGGAAATTTCGCACTATATCTCCCCCCTTTTTCGCTTCACACGTTTTTAACTTTCCCCGGGGGACACTACGTGGACCGATCATTGCCTTGTCGACCGGATTAATCACATCTTCATCCCTTATTTGTTACGTGCCCTATCACTGCATGTACCCACACAATGAATTGGCTCGACCAACTCCATCTATTCGTTTTACCCATTCGTGCGCCCGTCCCTCATGACGCATAGGCGCGTTTTTATTTGCCTTTCCAGTGAGTGGCTCTTCAACGATAAGTGCGCGAATATCAGTGACATGGACGCATAGACCTAGTGTAGCGTGTCCGTGTCACCCCGGTGAGAGGTGCCATAGGAGCAAACACCATAACCGCGACGTAGGCGAAGAAGGGTAGCATTCGTGGTGTGATTACCACACTGGGAGGGGTATTTCTTTGCCTAATCGATTCGTTTCCTACAAACTTCCTTCCGCGTACGCCCGTGGCTTCAGAAACGGACCCGTTTTAATAACAGTCGAAGAACAGGTGCCAAAAGGAGCAAAACACCCTGTGCGTAGAAAACAAAAGAAAGGAAGGACAGAACGACGCAGTGGAGTAGTACCTCTCCTTCTTGTGACGATGCATCCACGTGAGGCAGAGGGGTGTGCGGGGGGAGGTACGGAGGGGCAAAGGCGGCCCGACAGCGTGGGCCTGTACAACTTTTACAATAACATCATCCCCAGTCAGTCAATCAGAACGGCCATCTACACAAACATAAAAGGAAACAAAAAAAAATATTTACTCTACGCTTGTAGTAACTACCTCAACGTGTGTTCAGTGGATAAAGATGGCTACACAAGTGATTACACCAAGCATGCTGTCTTTGCAGAGATCCTGGAGTTAAGAGAATACATCCCAGAAAAGCTAGCTGATTCAGGACCAAAGGAAAATATAAAATCGTATGTTTTTTTATTAACAAGAAAGTATAACTTATTATTGCTCCATTTCGATGTGAAGCTAAATGATTTTGTCACCATCTCACAAGTCAATTTACATGAAGTAAATGGCATGAACATAGAAGAAGACATCACTCTCCTGTTGGACGATCGGAACAGGACTCTCCTATTCTATGGATACAAAAGTATATTAAAATATATACACATAGACTATGACGATTATTTTAATTTAAGCCACATCTATACCTTGAGGTTGGATGAGGGTCTGGTCATTGACATTATTTTTTTAAAGTTCAATAAGGAGCAAAGGGGAAGGGGAGGTGGAAGTGGTCGCGAACAGAAGGACCAAATGAAGGCCTTCCAGCTAAGCACCAGTAAACATAACATCGACACACATGACGAGTATCCATGTGAGCCAATGTTCACTGCAAAAGGAGACTCCCACCGAAGCAGCACCAAAAATAGAGGTGATCATTTCACCACCGATTTCATAACTGACGTTAAGGCAGAAGGGAGAAGCCATGCCCAGGAGGTAAGTATTAAGGAGGAAACAAGGAGCAGTGTGATCGATGGCCAATACACCACTGTAGAACGAATCAAAAGACAGTACGCAGATAAGACGGCGTCCCCTGATCATGACGCGTCACTTAACGACATATTGTGCAGAAGCGAAGAAAGGGATACAGCAAATCTAGGGTTCAAGAAAGGGTTCAGTGAACGGACATACAAAAATGAAAATCAGATGCAGACTCAGGAAGGATACCCCCCAATAGACACCTCTAGGGATAGCTTTTTTGCAGATGATATTCATTGGGGAAACAACGAGTCTAGAAAAAAAAACGATACACATGGAAACCATTACAAGGGAAGGAAAAAAGAGAAAAGCAAAATAAGCGCCACGATATGTGTCCTGTATGACGCCAAAAAAAAAGAATCCACTACCTACGAAAGGTACATAAGATTGATTCGTTTATATTCTGCCAATGATGATCATCGTCCCAGCAGTTTAAGTGAAACCAGCACATCTATGAACCCACGCATAAAAAATGGGTTCAGTGAATACGGTCATGTGCACACTAGTGGTGCTTCCTACCCATACAGTAGCGAATTCAATTTTGTAAAAGAACCCAAGGATGAAGAAAAGTGTATACACCTCATGTACTACAAGCCTGTAGTAGTAGACTCGAGCATAAACAAGCTCCTCTGTTTCGCTAGAAATAGGTTGATGTTGGTGGGCTTCCAGTTCATTAGTTATGTTAATTTGGAGACAGACAAGGACAGGAACTTTTTCCTGAGCTCCGAGTTAAGAACCATCAGATGCATTGAACAATTGAGTAGAAATAAATTTATTTTATCTGACGATTATGGAGACCTGTTCATTTTATCCTGCCTATATGAATCCAATCCATCTTCGCTCAGAATAAAAAGTGATTATAGCAATGCGGGTAGCTCTCCACGGGGTGTGTCGATGGGGGCAGGCCGGGAAGGCGTCAACCATGGCGACGATGTAAACGGCTACACAAACAACTACTCCCTCAACATCAGCAGCTGCATCAACTCCATCACCCTGCAGTTCATAGGTACATGCTCCAGGTCCAACGTAATTGTGTCCCTCTTCCCGGACATTATATTTCTGGGCTCCCAAGTGAGTGATAGCTATTTGCTGCGCATGCACAATTATCCTGTATGTGAGTACGAAGACTACAACCCCGTGGAGCCTCCCCCCCTCGCCACCCACAATGATTTCCATTGTTTGGTTAGCGGTACGCATGTGGGAGGGGGGGCGGCTGCTCATAATTTGAATGATGAAAATGAAGGCTCCCTTGGGGGGCATTTCCCTAAAACGGATGCAACGCATGTAACCGATCTAACGAGTGAGGCGAATGGGACGAACACTTTATTTAACCATCTTGAGGGTGGACCGCAACATGAAGACCTTCTCCAGGGTCATGCGGGAGCGGAAAACGCCATGTTCCCCGATAGAGCTAACGAAAGCTGCGCAATCAGCCACTGCTACGATGAAAATGTTATTGCACATCCCAGCGAATACGCTACTGTAACCTGTTTGGAGAATGACGGTCTTAACATGGAAGAGAGGGGCTTCGTTGTGCAGTCCAAAAATATCATGCAAGAAAAAAAAAAAAAAAAAAAAAATTCTTCATCGAAATTTTATCGGTCATACAAAATATGGGACCCATTCTAGATTTCTGTGTTGTCACAAATAAACATGAAGAGAAGGAAATTATAACATGCAACAGTTATGGACGCACGGGATGTATTTCCATCATTAGGACTGGGATGAAAGTAGATATAATTTCAAAATTGAACTTTGGAAAAATTACTAACATGTTCGTTGTTAAGTATGTTATTCACCTGAGGAAAAGTTCCCCCACGAGTGGGCCTGCTGGGGGGGGAGAAGAAGAATATTTTCCTGGAGGAGGATCATCACAGAAGAGGAACATTCATGCCGAGGAAAAGTCACGAAGGGATGAGGAGGATGCTTCCCCCTTCAATAATGACCAGGTCAATGAGAAGCAATTTATGCGAAACCACATTTTCAACACACAAGGTAAAGAAAAAGGAAAGAAGCCATTACACTTTCAAGCATTCGCTTACCTAAATGAAAAAAACAGTGTAGAAATAAAAGACATTAATTTGTGCTTTTTGAATAAGTACTACTTCCAAAACGAAAACGAAATTGATGTTTTGAATTATGCAAATTCTATATACTTTCACATTTTTATCATTTGTTTGTCGTATGGGTTTCACACCAAGGTGGTCGGTGTGTGTAGGGAGACCCCGGGGGTCAGGGCAGACAGGAGCAACCGGCGCGGGGTTTCAAGGGAGGCCACTTCAAATTGGGGTGAACATGCGTACGGTCGGAGGAAGAACCGTCACCACCGCCACCACAATCATAACGGTAACCAGGATCGCGATTGTCGTGATGTGAATGAGGACGACGACGACGATGATGATCACGATGCGCCGGCCAACCACACAAATGAATACTTCCCAAACGAGTATCTCTTTGGTTGTGGAGGAGCGCCCTCAAACAACCACAACGAAATATGCCTCTGTGAATATAAAGATGTAGACATCGACCTGACCAGCAACACTATATATTTTAATGTGTTAAAGAATTTTCCATACGTCGTGCAAGTAACCAATACACACATCAATCTGCTTTGCTGTTTATCACTGAAGATGGTGTATCAGTTGGAGAAGGATTACATTTTTAAGTTTTTCTTATACAAGGATTATTTGTATGTTTATTGTGACAGGGGTATCGAGGTGTACTCTGTTGAGGACAAGTACCTGCAGTTTCTGCACACCCACGAAGTGACACAAACGATTAGCTCCTTCGTGGTGTATAAAAGTTTGATGGCCTGTGTGGTTAACAGTAGGGAAGTGGCCCTGTTTAACATAGACCATGGGGCGCTCGAGCGGGTTAGAAGTGCGGCTCGGATTTGTGTAGCGGAATGCACGACGCTTAAGGAGGAGGACAAAAAAAAAAACCCTAACAACGATGAGAAGGGGAACGGCAGGGACATCTTCGTCCAGGCGAACCTCTACACCCCCTCGATGGACTACTTCGTCTTCATATCAGATGTGCAAGTGGTAGAGCTTAATGACAATGTTTACCTCTTTATTGGGTATAGTAGCGGGGTCGTGGAATATTTTCTGCTCTGCGCGGATAGGAGGGGGGCGCAGGAGGATCAAGTGGACGATCAGTCCGGAGCGGGGGCAGGCAAAGAGGGAATGGAAGCGAAGAACCAACTCGCACACGAGAAGCGACCATTACATACACGCCGAACCCATGACAACTTGTTCAGGCTCCACAAGTCCTACTTGAAAAAGAAGGAAGAAACGTTGCGATGCATTTACCGCGACGAACTCATTAACAGGCAGAAGCAACCAACGCACAGTTATAAAATAAAAATTACGGACACCATGCATAAACAAAAAAAGGAAAAAAAATACAAAAGAGATTTAATTAGGTACATGTCGGAAACACATGCAAATGTATTTCCATATTTCAACCGAGAGAAGAATGTGTTCACAAATTTGTCTGGCCTACATAGCTTATGTGTTAGAGACCAGGGGGATGAAGTTTTGTTCGACTATGATTTATTTCATAATGCGCATCCTGAATCTGATTCATTTGTGGGTATGGATGCCATTTTACAAGGGCGCCACTCAGGGAGGGTCACACGTGAAAAGGCCGAATCCGATACAGGCAGAGCTGTGCAGGGGCAGGGTGGAAGCATCGAACAACAAAATGAGGATGACCCTCCTGACGATGCGGACGAGTGGAGCGAATGCAGCCAGTACGTTAAATGCCCAGGCATACCATCCCGGTTAACCAACAAGCCGTTTAAGAAAAACCGAAATGGGAAAAGCAATCACAAACAAATGAGTCTCCACCGGAAAAAGGCCAAATATTATTTTCAATTTTTTCAAATTTATGGCATGTCGTCTGAAGAATCATCTGATGAAGACGTCTTGAACTTTCGCACCTTCGAAATGCTAGACGCAAAAATGAAGCAGACGAGGAAGGTACCTCACGCTAGGGATAATGTAAATTGTGGAAGCAGTTACTGCGATGGTAAAAGTAGCAGAAGCAGCAAGTATATCTTTCGTGACGATGTGCGTAGTTGTGATGGGGGTGTGCGGAATCATGTAGGAGGGAAGCACAAACCATTGAAGAAAAAAACTCCCAATCTCCCAAGCGCGTCCTCCGACTCTAACGGAGGTGGCAGCTGTGTATCCACTTTAACAGTGAGGAATGCCGTCAACTTGAACCACGAAATGGGTAGCGACCATTGGCCCTCCGCCCCGACCCATGATGGAAGAAGGAGATCCTCCCACGGGGAGGCGAAGCGGAAGGTTCCCAGGATTTCTAGCGCAGTGGACGAAATGAGTGAGAGTGACGTAGAAGGGAAAGGGGGAAAGGACGAGCAGCAGCAGCAGCAGGATGAGGCGATCTCCCACGATGAGCAGTCGGATTGCCGCTCCCGCGACGCGCCCCTCAAAAAGGACATAAATAACAAGGAGTACCTGCTAGAAAAAATGAAGAAGAACAAAACGAATTTAACGAGAAAGGAACTCAAGCAAATGAAAGAAAAGGAAGAAATCCTAAGTGATATCTTCCAAAGGAAAATAAAAAAACAATACAACGATGTCTATGTCCGAGAAAAACAAATGGGTTCAGGAAAATATAGTGATGTAGATGCACAAGTAGATGCAGAAATATCATCAGATGCATCTGTGTGTTTTAAAAACCTCAACAACATTCTCTTTGATGAAAAAGTATATCTAAAAAAGTACGTAGTCCAAAGTGAAAAAATATTATTAACAAAAAGGAGAAAAATTTCCACATGTACAAAAAGCCCAGTGAAATTTAAAACCTTTTTAAAAGTGGATTCAGAAAAAAATAAAATTGATATTAACATGAGCAAGGTTACGAAAAAGTATAATTTTCTCTTCGTCTGTTGTGATAACCCTATTATTATTTATTCTACACTGAAGAAAAAAATCTCCACCTCAAAGCTGTCTATTAGAAATGTACTCCTCGTGGATATGTTTAGCGATTTCAATTATCTTAACCCCTTCCACAATTTCTTATCATTTAAAAAAAAAAACCAAAACAACTCCTATTTTATTTTTTTCGATGGACACAAAATATGCATTTCGTATTTAAACGAGATAAAGAAGACGTTCATGGAACGAATTCCCTTCCATAGGACCGTTGAAAAAATTGCCTACCACGCTGACACAGGTTTGCTGATCACAGCTTGCCCTGTTGAAGAGAAACACAAAACCAACCAGATGATGAAGCAAATTGTCTGCTTCTTTGACCCTTTCCAAAACTCGTTCAAGTACACCTATATCATTCCCTCTAAGTTTAGCGTCTCTAGTATATGCATTTATGAATTGGCGCCTAGCCCTTCCCCGGGTGGAGGTCGTCACTCGTTGGATGATGCGAACCGAGCAAGCAGCCCCCCCGTGCGCACACTCATTTGCGTGGGCACGGCCAACAATAACGAGCGCATCACGGAGCCCTCCTCCGGGCACATCTACGTCTTCGTCGCCAAGAAAAAAACCAACCAGTTTGAAATAAAGCACATTTACACCTACAACGTCAATTGTGGAGGGATCACCCACTTGAAGCAGTTCCACGATAAAATCGTCGCGGCGGTGAACAACACGGTGAGGAAGCGGCGCGATTCACGCGTCGGAGGCAGTGGCAGGCGCAGCAGACACGGGACATGCCACTGCTTCTTCTCTTCGCCGCGTTATTTCACTGTTCTTTTTTTTTTTTCGCCCCCACCAGGTCGTCATCCTCGATATCGGAAATTTTCTGACCAACCTAGGCTCATACATCTACAACACGAGCAAAGCCATTGTAAGAAACACCTCGCGGGCTCTCCCCCTAGCCCATGCGCGCATGCCAATTTAGTTAATGTTCGCACGATGTTGACCACAATTTCGTGCTGTGTTTTCTTTCATCTGCCTTTCCCTTCCCTTCCCCTTCCTCCCCGGCACAGAAAATGGAAAGTAACGATGCCTTCCTGGAGGTGGCCTCCTTTACGCCGAGCTCCTGGATTATGAGCCTGGACGTTGTGTAAGGAATTCAATGGGTGCCATATGCGCGCGTGCATCTCGCCGTTGTGTACTGCTAATCATACCATACTCATGTTAATTATTCCCCCCTCCCCCTGCAGAAATAACTACATCGTCGTGGGCGACATCATGACGTCAGTGACCCTCCTGTCTTACGATTTCGAAAATGTAAAAGAAAAAAAACTCTTAACTTGGCTGATCTGATCAGTTTCGCCGTTGGAGGAACCTCTCTCTCCCCCCAAAAAAATAATCATTCGAAGAGCTGCGCATCTGATGTAACTCATTTCTCTCCTGTGCCCCCCCCCCATGTTGTAGGCCATTCTGAACGAAGTGTGTAGGGACTACGCGAACATTTGGTGCACGTAAGTGGATTAGCCAGCCAAAAGTGTGCACGCCGCGCCCGCGTACGCTGACGAACCTTCTCACCCATCATGCAACACGCAGCATGCTACACCCACCATCCGACACCCATCACCCCAATTCGCTTTCTACCCTTCCGCCGCACCGCGTTCCCCCCCAGATCGGTGAGTGCCCTGTCACAGAACCATTTTCTAGTCTCAGACATGGAGTCCAACTTCCTCGTTTTGCAAAAGTAAGAATAGAAAAAAAAAAAAAAAAAATGGGAGCCAAGCAGAAACGGCGCGTCTGGAATTGGTTGAGGAGACTGGCTCACTTATATAAAACATTCACCTTGGGCAGAACTCGCCACGAGTTCAATGCACCCGTAACTCCACTGCGAAAATTTTTTTTTTTTTTACGCAGGTCAAACATTAAATTCAACGACGAAGAGTCTTTCAAGCTATCGGTAAAAAAAAAAAAGCGAGCGCATGTGTGCACGTGCATTCGTATGTACACGTAGCAATACTTCCCCTTCTACACATCACACATTCGTGTGCCCCCACATCACTGCATCCATTCCACACCTACCTCCCCCTGCCCCAAACTGCAGTTGGTTTCACAATTCAACCACGGGAGCGTCGTCAACAAAATGTGTTCGACGTCCTTGAAGAATCTGGTCGACGAGTACGAATCGGGAGAGGCGGAAAAAATATATACATATATATATATATGTGTAGAAGTACAAATGGACAAAAAAGGCAACTGTGGGCGATGCACTTATTGATACAAAGTCACGCAACAGAATGAATCTTTTCCGCACACTCACCCATCTGCCCCATTCTTCCCTTCAGTGAGGAGCACAGAAACGAAATCGTACAGAAGGAGCAGAGCATCTTATGTGCCTCCAGCGAAGGCTCCATCAGCGCCCTCATCCCATTTTCCAACTTCGTACAATTTAAAAGAGCCCTCTGTATCGAACTTGCTATCAACGACAATATTTCGTCCCTGGGGAATTTGAGCCACAGCTCTTACCGAGAGTACAAAGTCAGCTTGGCCTCCAAAAATTGTAAAGGTGTAGTGGATGGCGAACTCTTTAAGATGTTTTTTTACTTGCCCTTCGAGCGACAGCTGAAGACGTACATTTACGCCAAGTGGTACGTGCGAGCCAGATGAGCGGATCACCCCGTGTAGCACATTCACTTAGCGCATACACTACGCGCTACTTTGTGTCGCTTCCTCCGGCTCCCTACTTCACACCGCGCCGTTTCCCCCATCGCAGGATCGCCAAAAAGTTGAATTGCAAACTCGGGAGCTTCGAACACTTTATGCTGGACATAGAAAATCTGTGTGGCCTTTTATGATCTCCTTCGGAAGAAACAACTTGCGTAGTCCTCATTCAACACGGGACATAGCGTTTCGATCAGGAACACTTCCAACAGTAGGGCACACATAAATACTTATGTGCGCTCGAATAGCACAATAAGAAATATAACGATTAGGTCATAACTCAATCAGGGCATGCCCGATCAACTTAACGTTACTTATCCCAGAGCGATTCAATTCGAAGCTGTTTTGTCTTTTCATCTCCCGCCCCCACCCCAATGCTGACTTTTTTTCCATCATCATGATGTAGCAAAGTACGGGCAAGCTACACACCTTTGCCTTGTAACGATTTTTGTCCTTTTTTTTTTTTTTTTTTTTTATGGGTCCATATTTATAACACACCATCTCTCCATCTTGTGGCATCTTCTCACGTGATGATGGGAAATCCCCCTTACACTAACACCTGCCTGGTTGGCGTCAGGTGACAACCAATATATAACCCATTGGCGGTCCTACTGGGAAAAACAAAATAAAAAAAAATCTTCCCTTCTCTCAGAATTTTGACTTTAATTCTACTGGGGTTGTTACTCATGTAAGCTGCTATTCTTTTGAAGATGTCTCCATTGTCCTTTTCATTTCCCTTTTCATTCTGCTCTTCATCATTTTTTTTCTTTTCTTTTCTTACATCACCAAACTGAATTACATAGTCATTGATTCGTAGCCCTGCCATGTGTGAAGGGGAATTCTCCACCACCTCATCGATCATGGCAAAGGTACTTCTTTTAGCTTCTTCAATTAGCTGTTCATAACCTGGTGCTGACTCATCATAATCTTCTACGTGACTTTCTGAAGAAGAATCATTAGGGTCATTTGCTTGTTCGTCCTTCGTTTTACTCCTCTGTACTCGTATGGGGGGGTGGGAACTGTGGACCTTATGGAGGTACTCTTCGATTTTTTTATTCACATTTCGGTAATCGTTTTTTAAGCAAATGACTTTGTTCCTTGCAACTCGGATGCTATATATGTCAATGTCGTTTCTGGGGAAACCTTCTGGGTCTACCAGCTTGCCCTTCATACCCACGCTTTTGTTTTCTGGTGCTTCTAGGAAGTCCATGTTCTCCTTCATCTCCCGCTCGATTTCATCTCTCTGCTTCACCAGCGCGTTGAACTCCTCTAGATTCATTTTTGCACAGTGTAGCGTCAGTGTGGTTGTGGAAACACGGCAGGGGCGAGACGGGATACAAAACGCGTTCACCAATCAGCCAAGCAAACAAAACGGACGCATTCACTCTAGGACGCTGTCGCTACATGTGACTACATCAGATGTGCTCACGACACTACAACGCGAATTGGATCTCGCAAGGGGGAAAAAAAACACTTACCCATACAAGTACCAATCGTTCGCAAAAGTGTATGCCTCTTCTCTTATTATGCCGTTCGAATGTAATGCGGGGAAAAAAAAAAAAAAAAAAAAATTCATGCGTGCAGCCACTGCGAAATGACAGGAAGAGATATACCAACGTGAAAGGAGAAAATGGTCAACCCGTTCCGATCCACCCGGACCAGAAACGAGAAAAAAAAAAAAAAAAAAAAGGAGATATAATCGCACCACTGCAAAGATATATTAGATATGCCTCCATTTACATACATACATACATAAGTACGTACGTATGCACAAAATGGTAATTTAAAATGCCTGGTAGAAAGTGGAACTTTCTAAAGGAACACACCCCCGCCATCTCCCCGAAGAGAGTAAAATGTTCGGAGATCTCATTCCCTGCCTCAGCAGCAGCGTCAAGAGGAGGCCCCTTTTCCACAACCAGAAGGTTAGCATTGGAAATGACTTAACTCGTGTACACATGTGGGTGTGTGTACACGTGTGCGCGTAGAGCAGTAGCGCGTGTTGTTTGACAGACTCCCCCCCTTCTTCCCCTCCCCCCCACCTCTACAGCGATTCGCCTACTACCGCTTCCACAAGCGAGTGGGCAAAGGCTCATGGAGCAAGTACGTGGAACGGTTCAAACCCCCAAGGAGTATCGAAAACACCCAGAGACTCATTTTCAACTATGAGCCCACGTATTCAGAAAAAAAAGCGTCCTGCAGCTGGCAGTGGCTGCTTCCAAAAAAAATCGCACAAGCCACAACATCGGACGAGGTGTTAAATGTGTGGGTGTACTACCGACACAAGAGAAAAAAATCCTATCATTATATGAAAGTTCTAAAGAGGTTAGTCGATGTGGGGACCTGCTCGACTAATGATTGGAGATTTAAATTAATCACCTCCAGAGTACAAAACAAAATTAATACCTTTCTTAACCTGCCTAGAATATGTTACTACTACGGGAGATTAAAAGCCACAGCTCAGTTAGAAGGAATGAGTAAAATGTTAAACCATCGACTAAGTTGTTATCTCCCTCATCAGTTGATTTTAATTTTAAGAAGTTTTGCCCTTTGTGAGTTGCAAGACAAGCAACTGTTCTGCAAAATTAGGGACCAGCTGAAACCCCATGTGCGCACTCTCTCATTTTCACAATTGTCTGCCATAGCGCAGAGCTATGCGTCCTGCATGATTCACGACTTTTTATTCCTTAGTGTAGTGGCGGAGGAGGTTATACTCAGGGTTAAGCTGTGTAACGAGCGAAGCTATGACCGACTCGGCGAGTACAATGCAGGGGGAGGAGAAACTGCTGCAGTGGGGGAAGAAGGCCCACTGCTGCACGACCTAGCCACGGAAAACAACCTCGTACAGCACAAGCGAGAGCAGTTCTGCTACTACCCCCAAATGGAGAGCCTAGTAGACATAGCGGTCTCCTTTGCAAATCTGAAATTCCAAAACTACCTCTTCTTCGATTACATCAGCAGACTCACCATATATATGCTAAAAAATCCGGACACAAATATCCTGAACCCATACCTTATAGAAAAAATAGCTAGCTCATTTTGTAAGTTAAAAATAAACGACGTAATGCTATTTGAGTACATTCTCAAACATATACGCATATACACATACGATTATCCTCCCCAAGTCCTTTGCACAATTGGGTGTCTCTTCTCATCCATACTACCATTACATTACGGAGCAATCAACCGGATTTACAAAAAAATGATGCAACACATATATGAAAATGCTTCTATCTTAACCATGGATTCCTTAACCAAGTTCTCCTCCTTTGTACATAAAGGGACAACAAGCGACGGAACAAAAAAGGAATTCTTATTTCGAGTAAACGATCTTGTTAAGAAGGTAGACAATAAATACTCTAAAATGATGTATGACGTTCCCAGGATCTTGGAAGTTTTATCCTTTCATGAATTGCTGGATCAGGATTCTTTTCAAATCATGTGCAAACATATGCATGGAAATATTAAGTACTTTGAACCATGTGACTTTAACAGAGCTGCGAGAGCGTTAAGCCAAGTGAAGAAAAAATTCAACTTCGAGGATGACAAAATCGTTAATGCACTTGCAAGGAATGCCATTAAGCAACATGATCTGTTTCATATTATCGACTACCATCAATTTTGTAAAGCCATTTTACATATAAGTGGATTGAAGGACATATATAAAATTTCCTTGGTCAAATACCACAACAGTGTTCCCTTTTTTGGCTTTAATGAATTAACACTCGAGGTTGACGTCCCCAGCCAAGAAAAACAAAACGCACGCAAGTATAAGAAAGGCACCATCCGTTTTTCCAACAAGAAATTGGAACAGGAGTATCCCCTGCACAAGGCGCTGGCTAACGCGTAGCTTGTCCTATGTGAGCAATTCGAGCAACGAAGTGGGGTAACATATGTGTGGAGGATCCCAGCGAAAAAAGGACGGGGGGAGGGGGCGAGCCGCTTTTTTTTTTTTTTTTCCGCGAGTGTGCAAGTTTGCCTCTTTTTTTTTTTTTTTTTTTCATTTGCGCGAAGATGAGTGGGATTAACTTCTCCCCGACGTCGGCACATTTATCTGTTCAAGTTTTTCCCCAGCGTTAACCTTAACCCATTTTTGTGTCCCCCGTTTGTTCTCGCTCACACATACCGTTGATCCTTTGTATCCTCATTTTATATTACTTTACTTTTGCTATAATTTGTTGCAGTTTATTTTTTTTTTTTTTTTTTTCCGTAAGGGAAGTGTGGGTGCATGTAGACTCATCCCGTTGGCGGTCAGCAGGAGGTCCCTTCGTGCACTTATGAGTTGCGTCTGAGCGCGTGTGTACCTCCTCTGCGGTTAACCTTCCCAAACGAACATGACACCTGTAGTAGTCTACCTGTTGGGCTGCCTCTGGATGGCAGTATCCATCACAGCACACATGTTCAATCACCCCCCCTCTAAAAAGACATTAACAAGTCAGGCGCTTTTAAAACGGGTGTCCAACTCTGAGGAGGAGGATAACTATTACACCATGCATGACGTCCTCAACACACCTCTGAAGACGGAGGAGGACCACCCCGTCCTGTACGACGACCTGCCGGACAAAATAAAAAATAAAATGGTGGACAATAATGATGTGCAAAAAATAAACAAATTGAAATTAGTTGCTCGAACCAATGCATTCATGAATTTCAAAAAAAGTTACGAAAAGCAAGAATCCACTCTGGAGCAGCTGTACAACCATATGCGTGAAATTATAAGCGTCGCTCTTAGTATCCCCTTGGAGGAAGTGAATCTACATGACATTAATATGCTGCTTGCCAAATGGAGAATGTTGAGCAAAGAGAGGATCAACCCAGACGAACAAAACAACGACGAACGCTACTTTAAGACCGTCAAAAGGCATGGTGCCCAGCCCAGTAGTATAACTCCTTCTACAATAATGAACCACACAAAAGGAATGAAAGGAGAGAGACGTGGTCGGGGGAACTTTTTCATTGACCCCGATTATTTCCTCCAGTTGGCTCTCTGACACAAGTGCTACCTGTGGGTTAGGGAAACGGCTGGATGGAAAATGCAACACCCCTGCTGATACACAAACCAAGAAACACAACAAAACCCGGTGCTCCTAAAATGGATGCACACGAATAACACGAAGTCCTATGATTGGACGAATTGTATTTTCCTTCTTAATTTTTGTTCACGTCACACCGGTGTGATATGCTTATATAAGTTTTTCACGCACTGGATGGCGAACTTTTTTTTTTTTTTTTTTTTTTTGTGTATCACTTTTTTGTCACTTTTTTGTCACTTTTTTGCTACTTTATTCCCAGAAGGAGCATATACAAAAGATAGATATTAAAATACCTGCGTGAAAAAAAAAAGGGCTACACCCCCCTCTCTGTACGCTGTGTATGCGCCCACGCGCAACTATCATTCGTAGAGCGAGCTGGATGGGGAAGCCACGTGTTTGATTGAGAAACGCCTTCTCAAATGAGCACTGCAAAAAAGGCAGTGGAAAAGTAGGCAAAAAGAGTAGATCCAGGGGAGACGGCGCAGAGAAGCCATTTCGCCCTATCCATGTTCATTTCTTATGGGACAATAAAAGGGGTTCCACCACTGGGACACAGCATTTAAAGGCAATGCATCCCCGTTTTTATGCTGACGTATGTCTACCCTATTTTGATTTTTCTAAGACGAACTAGTTTACAAGTGAATACCTAAATGGGCAACGTCGCCCCTGTGTAGAATTATCACCAGTGTTGCATTCACCCTTGTTTTTCGTTCAGCGCCCCATCCATGCAATCCAGGGTCCAATGTTTTTACGCACTTGTGTGAAAATCCCCTTTTCTGCTAAACGCACTAAAACAGGTGACTCATCCCTCTGCACGCTTGATCCTGCCGATGCGACGTTGTTGCATCCCCAAGGGGGACACCCTTTCACACTGCTTACTGCTCCCCCACAAAAGGGACGCTCCTTTTTGTGTCATCGCTTCTGTTGCGGGCAAAATGAATTACTAAACATTGAGGGGGACACCATCACGCATATGTGCAAATGCATACTCCATAAGCATGCTCAACGCGCATGCGCATGCTCATTCCACCTTTCGCGTACCGGTGTGCCGCATACCTTTTAGCGCTTCTACACGCGTGCAATTGGGAAGAAGGCACCCTCTTCGCCATACGCCGGTGGAAGCGTCAAGCCACAAGCATCCTTAAATGGATAAACCGGTAGAAGCTTCAAACCTTTTTCTATACCACAGGGAGTATTCGAATACACGCGCACTAGGATGCAATCGACAGCAAAAAAAAAAAAAAAAAAAAAAATCGCACTAGTGAAAAAACAACGAACACGCGAACAAAGCGAGTTGATCCTTCTACCATGCGAAAAGTCAAACAGATCGGATGTAAATTGCGAATTAGCGCAAATTAGTAGCTGAAGAAGTTGCAGAGAAGGGCTTTCTTTTTTTAATTTTTTTTTTTTTGTGTATCTATGCCTGCGGGTAGGCTAAGCTGTGGCAAGCTGACTTGGCGAAGAAAATGATGGCACCCAATGGAGGAGGGGCCTGGAGACGGGCCCTCCTGCGAAGCTACCCGTGGGGGAGGGATAACCAGGGGAAGCTGAGTGTGGCAAGAAGTTTCTACACGCAGCGGACACTTCCTGCCATGCACGCCAGTGGAAAATGTGTACGAAGTGTAGCCATCGCAACAACACATGCAAGGGGATTACACCATCAACACAGATGCACCTACTACACCAGCAGTGATGGAAAAAAATATAATAAAAAAATATGGAACAGTTTAGGCATTGTAATTATACCACAACAAACAGCATACATAATTGAGCGTCTAGGAAAATATAAAAAAACCTTATTGGCAGGCATTCATTTTATCATCCCCTTCATAGACAAAATAGCTTACGTGTTTTCGCTAAAGGAAGAAACGATAACAATTCCTAACCAAACGGCTATTACTAAGGATAATGTGACTTTGAATATTGATGGGGTGCTTTATATAAAATGCGATAACCCATACAACTCTTCGTATGGTATTGAAGACGCTGTTTTCGCTGTGACGCAGTTAGCCCAAGTTACCATGAGATCGGAGTTAGGGAAACTAACCCTAGACGCTACCTTTCTAGAGAGGGATAATTTAAACGAAAAAATTGTTACAGCTATTAATGAGTCGGCAAAAAACTGGGGTATTAAATGTATGAGGTATGAAATTAGGGATATCATTTTGCCAGTCAATATTAAGAATGCCATGGAGAAGCAGGCAGAAGCGGAAAGGAAGAAGCGGGCAGAAATATTACAAAGTGAAGGAGAAAGGGAGAGTGAAATTAATATTGCTATTGGAAAAAAAAAAAAGTCCATCCTTATTGCAGAGGGACAATCTTTTGCAATTAAAGCAAAAGCAGATGCTACCGCAGAAGCTATAGAAATTATTTCAAATAAAATTAAAAAATTAGATTCTAATAATGCAATTTCTCTTCTTATAGCTGAACAGTACATTGACGTATTTGCCAACATTTGCAAAAACAACAACACCGTTATTATTCCTGCCGACTTGAATAATATTAGCAGCTTAATTTCGCAGTCCTTGTCTATATATAATAATATACAAAATGCCAAGCGAGGGAATGGTCCCCCACAGATTGAATCCCTCCCCAATGATGACTTGGTGCATTGCGAAGAGAAGGACTGACCCGTCGGAAGAGAGCCCCCCACAAGGCATCTTCATCTGTGTGTAACGGGTGATAAAACACCACTGGGGTTGCTCATGTTTGCGCGCTTCCTCCCCCTCCCCCTCCCCCCCCACACATCTAACATTAAGCCAATTCACGTTGCCATTTCGCGTTGCCAATTCGATTGTCTAATTTGCTTTGCCAACCCACTTTGCCTTTTTTTTGGTTTTTAGCCAATTGTTATTCACTTGCCTCTACGGTACGCTCATCAGGAGGGGGGCGGCGGGGGTTGTTACAGCAGAGTCTGCCTGATAAGCGAAAAAAAAAAATATCACCTTACAGTGACGTAGTCCCGTTAGGACAATTTACTCTGTTTTTCTTGCGAGCATCTGATGAGGCACGGCCTTGGATGCCATCGCATTTCTGGCGGGTCACGTGATAAAGGGAACGGTCTATTGTGTATCTGTACATTCCTTTCCCATTTTTTGGAATTTTTTTCTCCCCCCTAATCGTTCTCTTTTTTTTTTTTTTTTTTTTTTTTTTTTTTTTTTTTTTTTTCCCCCCCTATTTTTTTTTTTTTTTTTTTTTTTTTTTTTTTTTTTTTTTTTGAAAGAATTTCTCCATTTGTGTTTTTTTCTCCATTTTTAAAATCAGACAATTTTTACAAGTCAAAATAGCCTTCCCCACATTTGCATAACAAGGCGACATCCGTTTTGTAAATGGCTGTGCTTTTGCTTCTGCACCTGGTTTGCTATTTCGTTTTTTTTTTTTTTTTTTCCGGATCAGTAGGGTTTTTTTTTGTGAGTGAACACATGGCCAACGGGCGTTACGCGGAAAACGGTCTTTTGCGCACGAGTAGAATTATACATGGCGTGTGTACATATTGGGTGGTATTCACTTGAGCGCAGAACCCATTAGCCGTTTTTAATTGTGTGTGGCATATGTTTTCTCCATCTGGAGGTAACTTTAATGAGCTGGAGACCCCCAAATAAGGTTGATAACGAGGAGGGAAAACGTACAATCAAATTGTATGCCTTCCTTTTGTCCTCCGCAGAAGAGGCATCCCTGTCCGTTTTGGGAGGCGATTTGACTACCACTTGCTGGGAATAAAAACTAATGTCCCTTAGTGAACACCGTCCATTCCGAAGAGCACCTTTAAAAGTAACTCCCATGTGAAGGTTACCCTTATGTGTAATTTTTTTATGTATGAACATTGTGTGAAAAAAAAAAAAAAAAAAAAAAAAGTGTAATATGTTACGTAAGCACATTTGAATACTTCCCAACAGTGTGCCATGTTTATTCATTTTTCTCATTTCGTAACTTCTCCATGTGGAAAAGTTGTATAGCCTCACAAAATGAACAGAACCGATCGTCCCAAGGGATGGTATTATATACGCGTTTTTTTTTTTTTTCTCGTACACCGCGGGCACGCCAGGTGTATGCAAAATGCGCCATGATATCGTAACGTGTGCTGCATTTTTTTTTTTTTCCTGTGTGCGCGGCACTTGCCCGAACGAAGGCATCGCCTCCTTAGCCAACTCACTGCTTTTTATTCGCTTTAATTTTTTTTTTTTTTCACGCCCGATGTGCCATACGCTTGATAACGGTGTCATTGGCATGAACGAGTCATACGTGCATATTATGCTACATATGCGCACTTGCGTTTCGCCCCTTAGAGGTATGCATGTATAATGTAAGCGCTATTGAAATGTTACAGGCGACTCTTTGTTTCAGCCGTTAGCGCCTTTCGTCGTGGTGTTCAATTTGGACCCTCCTTTTTTTTCATGACCACTTTTTTGTGTTAACGCTTGCGGTGTCCCACGTGTATGTATACACGTGCGTATGCAGGTCAAACCACCACTCGTACACAGGCGTATCATTGGCGTTATTTTGGCATGCCCCCGCCCTACACCGTTCTTTTAAACATTTTTAAAAGAAACGTCCGACGGGGAAAGAAGTCCCCCAGAGAGGGCTACCAATTCAATAGTGCGAAGGATTTGTTAGTAGCACCCAAGTTGTAAGCACCACAAATTAGTAGCATTCGAATTGGCAACTGCCAAATCGGGTAGGCAAAAAAATAATACCCCTGAGCAGCAGCGTACCCAAATAACGATGTGCTGTGGGCTGTACTTAAATTCCATCGCATATACGTATTCCAGCCTCCGTGCCAATTGTGCGTATAATATGTACGCAATACCGTTTATGTTACTTACGTGTTATAATTTATGCCTACGGAGAACGTCCGTTACGATTTGAAAAAAAAAAAAAAAAAAAAAACTGCGAACCAGCTGCGGGTTCTTTTTTTCATTACTTCAATTTCCAGTGAGCTTTAAATGCGTACATTCACGCTTTGCTTAGTTATATGCGGATAGTCCTTTCGCTTTTGCGTTCGCCTTTTTTTTTCTTTTTTTTTTTTCTTTATTTTTTTTTTTGTGTCATGCTTCGTGTATTGTGTATATGTACGTTTTACATGAAGCACGTATGTACGTAGGTACGCATGTGAGGCTTATGTTCCCACGGCGAACAGGAAGGTGAAACTGCTTTGAAACACGCTGCGGTGGTCGTTGCGCGGGGCATGAGTAAATCTTACGTTTGTAATTTTGTGCATCCTCGCATTCATGTTTCCAGGCGTTTGTACATCCCCTGGCGCCCCCACGCGAACCCTCCCCCTCCCCAGCTGAGCTGCATAAACCCGGGAGGAAACCACCAAGGCACAAGCAAACTATGAACAGCACAAAAACAAAAAAAAAAAAAAAAACGCCGCTCTAGCCAAATAAACAGAATAGTTAGTAGAGAAAGGCGTAGGGGCTGTGCCCACCAAATCACGTTTATTTTTGTACCTCCATTTTAATGTACCACTTTGTTTGCGCCCGTTGGGAAAACACCTAGCTGTAAGAGCAGGGGGACATTTTCCATGAATGGAAGAGTTCCGCCGCGTGTATTCATCTCGGTATCATCCCTCCCCTCTCCCAATGCGTATCTTCCCACAGCTATTCACATGTATGAATAATTAGTTAAATGTGCGTGCTGCCTTCTTGATTGAGTTCATCTCGCCAAAGCCCGAATACGCGTGACGTTGGTAGAGTATGCCAAGGGGGTAGAGCAGCGGCCATTTTTTTTCTTCCTTGTGAAGGGAGTAAAAAGTGAGACCTGCGCTGAGCCCTGGTTTGTACGCGTTTGCTACGCGGTTGCTACGCGGTTGTTACGCCGTTGCTACGTGATCGAACCCCAGCGCGCTGCCAAACATGACGATCGACCTGAATGTGCCCTACTCGGCGTGCGAGCTGAAGAGGGTGAAGCGCCTCGAGTTGGGCGTGCTGGACCCAGAAATTATAAAAAAAATAGGTGTGTGCGAAGTTGTAAATGTAGACCTATACAAAGATGGAATGCCAAGGGAAGGAGGTCTAAACGATATTCGCATGGGGACCATAGACTTCAAAACCTTATGTGGGACATGTAACATGAACGTGAAAAATTGCCCTGGCCATTTTGGCTACATAGAATTAGCTAAGCCGATGTACCACTACGGATTTATGAATGTCGTACTCAATGTATTAAGGTGTGTGTGCTATCACTGTGGAAGATTATTATGTAATACAAACAGCTCCAAGGTTAAATTCATTGAAAAAATTAAGGTGAATAGTTTAAGACTGAAGAGGTTATCGGACGTGTGCCAAGGAATTAAAGTATGTGATCACTCCTCTCCTCAAGAAGAAGATACTTTACATCTGAATGATAATGCAGTAGATAATTTTTATAATAATAATTTGAGTAACTTAAATGTAAACCAACAAATGCTTTTAAACCCTAACAGCTATAGTAACATTTTCGAAATGGTGAATAAAGATGATGTGGACTGTGGTTGTGTGCAACCCAAATATACAAGGGAAGGACCAAACATGTTCATTCAATTTTTGCATTCCAGTGAGGAAGACATAGATGAGAGTAAAAGAAAATTAAGTGCAGAAGAAGCTTTAGAAATTTTAAAAAAAATTAGAAAAGAAGAAATGGCTATTCTTGGTTTCAGTTCAGATAGATGTATCCCTGCGTCATTAATTTTAACATTCATTCCCATCCCTCCTCCTTGTGCGAGGCCATACGTACAGTATGGAAATCAGAGGAGTGAAGATGACTTGACATTGAAATTGCTAGACATTGTGAAAACAAATATACAACTGAAGAGACAAACGGATAGAGGAGCCAAATCTCATGTCCTTCAAGATCTGTGTGCTTTGTTACAATTTCACATTACGACCTTGTTCGATAATGATATTCCTGGGATGCCAATAGCGACTACACGTTCGAAGAAACCAATTAAAGCTATACGGACCAGGTTGAAAGGGAAGGAAGGAAGGCTTCGAGGAAATTTAATGGGAAAACGTGTAGACTTTTCAGCCAGAACAGTTATTACAGGAGACCCAAATTTAAACATTGATTATATAGGAGTGCCAAAATCAGTCGCCATGACTTTAACATTTTGTGAAACGGTGACTCCACTCAATTACGACGACTTGAAGAAGCTTGTTGAAAGAGGTCCATATGAATGGCCAGGAGCAAAATATATTATTAGGGATAATGGAACCAAGTATGACCTCAGACATGTGAGAAAAAATTCAGAGAGGGAATTAGAATATGGTTACAAAGTAGAACGCCACATGACAGACGAAGATTATATACTTTTCAATCGACAACCATCTCTTCACAAAATGAGTATCATGGGACATAAGGCCAAAATATTGCCCTACTCTACGTTCAGGCTAAATTTAGCCGTTACTTCTCCCTACAATGCTGATTTTGATGGGGATGAAATGAATTTGCACCTTGCGCAGTCGCATGAAACTAGGTCTGAAATTAAGCACCTCATGATTGTGCAGAAGCAGATCGTCTCTCCGCAGGGAAACAAACCCGTTATGGGAATTGTGCAGGACTCCCTTTTAGCCATAAGAAAATTTACAAGGAGAGATAACTTTCTCACAAAGGAAGAAGTGATGTCTTTACTCATTTGGATCCCCTACTGGAACCATGTGATACCTACCCCTGCCATTATGAAACCCAAGGCCCTGTGGACAGGAAAGCAAATTTTTTCTATGCTTCTCCAGTTTGAAGATTTAGAAAGGCTCAACGACCCTTTGGGAAATTCCAAAATGATGGGGGGGGCTACCCACGGTACCGGGTTAAGAATAGAAGACGAAATGGGCCGAGGAAATAGCAATAGTGGTGGTGGCGCACACCTCCACCCCCATAGCCCTTTAGCCATTGGAGACACTATAAACAGTAACGTAAAAAATCAACTCATTGGAAATGACGTAACTGGCGCGAGTGGTGCAGAAGGGACATACAAAGGAGTAGGAGGATGGGGGAGGAATGTTAAGATAAATTTAATGAGGGATTCCTCAACCTCTTGTAAGGATGACAATCCATATTGCTCCATCAACGATGGAAAGGTCATTATAAAAAATAACGAACTGCTATGTGGAATCATATGCAAACGTACAGTGGGTTCTTCTAGCGGATCGTTGATTCACATTCTGTGGCATGAAATGGGTCCAGATAAAACGAAAGATTTCATTTCCGCCCTGCAAAAGGTTACCAATAATTGGTTAGAATATGTTGGGTTCACTGTGAGCTGCTCCGATATCATAGCTAGCAACAAGGTCCTCGATAAGGTAAAAGATATTCTAAGTAAGTCCAAAAAGGAGGTGTCCAAAATTGTGAAGAAAGCACAAAGAGGAGAGTTGGAATGTCAACCTGGTAAATCCCTTTACGAATCATTCGAAACGAGAGTAAATAACGAACTAAATTGTGCTCGAGAAATGGCTGGAAAAGTGGCCTCAGAAAGTTTAGATGAAAGGAATAATATCTTTAGTATGGTGGCTAGTGGCTCCAAGGGTTCCATCATCAACATTTCTCAAATCATATCTTGTGTGGGTCAGCAAAATGTGGAAGGGAAGAGAATTCCCTTTGGTTTTAACCACAGATCCTTACCCCATTTTATTAAATTTGATTATGGGCCAGAGAGTAGAGGGTTTGTGTCCAATTCTTATTTAAGTGGACTCACCCCACAGGAAGTTTTTTTCCATGCCATGGGAGGAAGAGAAGGTATCATTGACACGGCGTGTAAGACGTCGGAAACGGGTTACATACAAAGGAGATTAATTAAAGCAATGGAAGATGTCATGGTGCAGTATGATCGAACTGTTAGAAACTCCTATGGAGATATTATTCAATTTCTTTATGGAGAGGATGGAATGGCTGGAGAGTATATAGAAGATCAAATCATTGACCTAATGAAGCTAGACAATAAGGAAGTAAAAAAATTATACAAGTACAACTTCGATGACGATGAAGATGATGATCATGATGATAGTTATGCGAAGGATTTCTACCTGGACGGTGGAAAAAATAGAAAAAATTCCTATATTGATTATAATAAGCAGAATGTACTGAATCAGGAATTTGAAGAACTACTAAAATGTAAAAATAACATTTGTAAGGAAATATTTCCCGATGGTAATGTGAGGCAACACTTACCCATCAATATGAACCGACTCATCGAATTTGCAAAATCACAGTTCCCCTTTGTGCCTGTTGTGGGTACCAAAGTGAAGGAGCCCATTAGTGCTAATAGGATGAGGCCAAAGAGGAGCACCAACAAGAGGAAGTCCAAGAAGGGGAAGAAGGCTCGTTCAAGGGATGAAACGAAAGCGATTACTGACCAGACGTTGGAAGACCCGAACGACGAACTCGAGAACAATGAATTCATGTCGGAAATTAAAAAGGAGTACGAGACAAATGATCTCGCCAACGCCATGAAGGCCCAGCGTGCGTACAGCGGTTTTGAGCCCTTCGATGAGAACCTCGAGGAAGAGGCGCATCCCGACGCGAGCGACGAGGGAAGCGGTGAAGAAGATGGCGATGGCGATGATGATGAGGAGGATGAACAAGACGATGATGATGGCCAATCCTTCGTCAACCCCGTAGATGTCGTGCACAAAGTCAACCGCTTTCTAGAAAAGCTTGTCATTATCAAACAAATAAACAGCAACGATACCCTCTCGCTGGAAGCCCAGAACAACGCCACCATGTTGCTCGAAGCCCACTTGCGAACCTACTTAAATTCGAAACTCCTGACTCAGACCCATAAGATCAGTATGAAGGGAATCGACTGGCTTTTACAAGAAATTGAAAAAATATTCTACAAGTCGTTATGCCACCCTGGAGAATGTGTAGGCGCCTTGGCAGCGCAGTCAATTGGAGAACCCGCAACGCAAATGACACTCAATACATTTCACTTTGCAGGAGTGGGGTCTAAAAACGTAACGTTAGGTGTTCCAAGATTGAAGGAGTTAATTAATATTGTGAAAAATGTGAAGACTCCATCTACCACCATTTATCTCGACGACGTGGTGTCCAATGATCAACAGAAAGCAAAAGATATATTAACCAAACTGGAGTACACAACCCTGAAGCAACTAACATCGCATGCACAAATCATTTACGACCCCAACACTACAAGTACTATCCTAGAAGAAGACAAAATGTGGGTAGAGGAATTTTATGAATTCCCAGATGAGGATGACACACAGTATACTCTAGGAGAATGGGTTCTACGGATTCAGCTAACCAACATTCATGTCAATGAAAAAAAATTAACCATGAAGGAAATTGTTTACATTATTTATTCTGTCTTCTCCAGTGATGAATTAGATATCATCTACACAGATGATAACTCGGAAGATCTTATTCTAAGAATTAGGGTTAAATACCTAAATGGAGAGTACAACTTTCTTAATGACGATCCGGACCAGGCACAAGAGGATGAGTACGAAGAGGAAGAAGAGGAGGAAGATGAAGAGAATTACAATCGCATTGGAAGCACCTTCAAGACGAAGAAGAAGGTCGAGGCGGATGGTAATGAAGTGACGCAGAACAAGAAAAATGATGATGACGATAACCAAAGTGTAAGCAGTAACGGATCAAGGCAAAACAGCATGAACAGTGAACATCGATTTGGTAGCGCTAGTGGTAGTGCTAGCGGCACGGATATGGACGATGATGATGATGGAAAGGGAGGAAACCACAATCGGGACGAAGGGGGAAAGGATAAAACGAGTAAGGGTAAGAACGCAGAGAAAATAAAAAAAATGAAGGGGGAAAGTAACAACCGAACGGATAACAACTATGTGGAAGGATACGAAGGAACAGATTTGTTCGCCAATGGGGAAGGCAAAAGTGGAGAAAGTGGAATTGGAAGTGGGTCCGGAACAGCGGAGGACATGTTTGGAAAGCCCAACTTAAAAAACGCAGAAGAAGATACACACAATACTACAAAGGGGAGAAACAGTATGAGTGGCCTAAATGCTGGTGGGGGTACTATGCACAGCGGAAACGCTCCAAATGGAAATAATACAGGCAGTCTAGATATGAATAGCATGAGAAATATGAATAATGTGAGCAACCCAATTCACATGAAGGAAGACACAGAAGATACCTTTTTAAAAAAACTGATGGAGCAATGCCTATCGACATTGAAGTTAAGGGGAATTGAAAATATTACCAAAGTATACATGAGAGAAGAATCTAAAATAACATACGACTCCAACAATGGCAAATTTGTGAGGAGTTCCCATTGGGTGTTGGATACAGATGGATGTAACCTTGAGCATATTTTCTGTGCTTCTCATGTGGATTATAAAAAAACCATTTCAAATGATATAGTAGAAATATTTGAAGTGTTAGGAATTGAGGCTGTGAGAAGAGCTCTTCTAAAAGAATTGAGGACTGTTATTTCATTTGATAGCTCATATGTGAACTACAGACATCTCTCCATCCTCTGTGATGTGATGACTCAGAGAGGTTACCTCATGTCTATAACAAGACATGGAATTAATCGAGTGGATAGAGGTCCTTTAGTAAAGTGTAGCTTTGAAGAAACGGTAGAAATACTCCTTGAAGCAGCTGCCTTTGCACAGGTGGATAATCTTAAAGGAATAACGGAGAATATCATGCTGGGCCAGCTATGCAAAATAGGCACAGGCGTATTTGATATCATTATAGACAACCAAAAGTTAAGTGATGCGAATCAAAATTTAGAAACACTGATGGATATTACCAGTGCTGGATTTACTACTCCAGATAGCCACCATGGAATTACTCCAGATGGGTTACAATCTCCAGTAGCAATTAATACCCTAAATTCTCCTCTACCTTTCTCTCCAACCTATAACGTTAATTTATTATCCCCCACCGCTCCCCTAGACAGTGTCAACGGGATCTTATCTCCACAGTGTCTTCAAAATTATGCAGATGGAACTGGTGGTGCTGGGGAAAATATTATGTCCCCATCGAAAGCTGATTTTAACAATTTAGACACTCTAAAATTGGGCGGAAAATTCTCTCCTACACAATCACCCAGGTCACCCACATCAGTTATCCACTCCCCATTCTCCCCATTTGATAATCATAACCAGCAAGCACTCGATCCAAGCATGTTGTTCTCACCAAAAAATAACAACAGTAGTATGGCCATGATGAATTATAATGTCTTTTCCCCCAAGGCAAATATGAATAATATACAATCCCCTGCTATGTTATACTCTCCTAATCGCGCCTTAGATATATTTTCCCCTAAGCAACAGACGCAGAACAATATTTACTCTCCGTCCTATTCTCCCACGTCCCCCACCTATCACCTCTCCAACAATGCCAATGCTGGTGGCTCCGCCGGTTTGAATGATCCCAAGTCTTTTTATTCTCCGACGTCTCCAACAAATCAGCTGGGCGAAATGAACCCTAATATGATGAAGTACCACAGCGTCGTGTCGCCTGTCTACTCTGTTACCTCTCCAAAGTACTCACCCACGTCACCCAAGTATTCTCCTACCTCCCCGCAATACATGCCCACCTCACCCAAGTACTCGCCAACGTCCCCTAAATACTCACCGACATCTCCAAAGTATTCCCCCACGTCGCCGCAGTACTCTCCCACGTCACCTATTCCGAACAACCCCAGTAGTCCCCACTACTCACCTTACGCCATAGCCTCTCCCAAGTTTTCGCCCACCTCCCCAGCGTACTCCATCTCCTCCCCTGTGTATGACCGAAGCGCCAACGCCAGGAATAAGAACCAGCACCCCCTCTCCCCGGCGTACATTCTGCAGTCTCCTGTGCAGGTCAAGCAACACATCCAGGACGTCAGCGTCTTTTCGCCCATCCAGCAAGCCAATGCCGACGAGGCGCAGAACGACGACCCCTTCTCCCCGATGCCCTACAACATGGACGAGGACGAAATGGAGCAGTGATGAAGTGGGCAGCGGCCGCGTTATGGGAGGCATGCGCGTTAGTCGGGCTAGCAGCATTAATAGCGGCAGCAGCGCAATGGGCACACGTGCACTCGCCCTGCCACTGAGTGTGCCCTCTCCCGTGTGCAATTAGCACATCCCCTTTTTTTTTTTTTTTTTTGTGTTCCTCAATGTGTAACACGTGCATTGTAAACGAGAACACCCCACGCTAGCGCAGTAATTAAATTTTGTAGATGTGTGGCGACAAATTTGAGGCTGCCCAAACGGGTCCCACTTTATGTAAACCGCATAGGGAAGAAGCCACACTGGCGCCATATTCCCCCCTTGTATAACGTGTGCATTGCAACTCCAGTCAGACGGAAAAATTAAAAGACGTGCGCCGCTGTAGGCCCACAAGGGGGTTTATGCAGACGTTTGTGTTGTTTTGCTCAGGCGGAGCAAATAGTCAAAAAAAAAAAAAAAAAAAAATTAAACAAAAAATGTTTGTTCGTACACGCATATATGTTGGAATGAGAATGCGGATGCACGTAAGGAAGGGTTTACATAACGGTACATGTACATTCGGAGGCGTGACAAAAATGTGAAGATTATATAAAAAAAAAAAAAAGGAGCGAAAGGGTTGATTGGCACGGGGCATAACAACAGCCAGTCGTCATTGCTTCGTGGGTGCTTGGGGGAAAAGGACTTTTTCTTCCTCCCTTATCAGCACTCGTGTGGCAGACATCATAAAGCCAGGGGTGGGGGCCCCCCCCCCTTTTTGCAACGGCTAGCAGTTCTCGTTCTTCAAACAAATGATGATGTATATGTGGCTGTCGAATAGGTCGAACAAATTGTATTGCGGGAGCATGATGTTGAGAAAATCATTACGAATGTCACTGATCACATCCTTGATGTCATTTGCAGACCGCTGGTACACATTACCCTTGTGGTACACAGTCTCCCTTCCATTGTTCGAAATTATATACGCATTTATATGGGACATGGGAGATATCCTGTAGAGCATTTCCATTTTTAATCTTTTCTTAATGGAGCTCGTTTCATCAGACGTTTCAATAACGATATATGCACTTTCGTTTTTGATCTTATATTCCTTCAATGTTATTAAGGTCTCCAGGAAGAAGGATCTACTGGAGTATATTATTTGTTTTGTGTTAACATCTCTGAGCACCTCAATTTTTATTATTGTCCTACAGTTAAAGAATAAATTCGTGTAGGGCAAAGCGGGTAGCTCTTTTTTCCCATAGAAAATGTATAGCTTTAAAAATTCGTTTTTCTCCAATATGACTGATACTTTTTTTTTTAAGAGCACTTCGAAGAAATTTATGAATTTTATTTCCTCCTCGACATGCTGCCGGAATAGCTTCATGTATTTTTGGTTGTGTCTTTTTAAGAAAGCAATTTCGTCCGTTATTTCGGTGTGCGGTTGTAATGGCCCGGCTTCACTCTGCTTGCCCTTCTCCGCGTCGGCATGCCCATTAGCATCGCCATGTTCACCGTTGTCGTTCTTCTCTTCTCCCTCTTCATCTTCGTCTTCCGAGTCCTCCTCCTCCCCTTCCTCTCCCTCTGCTTCCCCTCCTGCACCCCCATCGGCCCTCTTACGCACGTATGTGTTCCCCAGCGCGTACAGCGAGTTGCAATACTTGAACGTCTTGTACGCCTTCACAATTTCAGGCATCATACCCAGGTAGTTGATGCAGATGCTGTTGCGGCTCCTCAGGTGAGGGAACTGACTAGCCATTTTGGATGAGTCGGCCTTGTTCAAGTAACTCTCAAATATGTGCGACAGGATAGAGTAGTACTGCTCTCGCTTCACCACCTTGAACGAGTCGTGATAAGACACGTAATATGTATTCAAATAATCATCCACATTGTTCATGTTAATAAAGTTGTCCTGGGTATCCAGGACGGGGTCAGGGTTGTTTCCCGCTTGGCTCGGGCACACGTTACTGCTGGAAAATATGTTTTGCTTTGGTGCCGGGCATACGTTTGAGGTGAGGGGAGTGGCCGGTATGCTGGACAAGTTTGATTGGTTCGAAAGAGCTGGTTGGCCGGGCTCCCCCTGATGAGTCGGCTTAACCTCCTCGCTGGCTTCATTCTTACCCTGCTCTGTGCCTTTCCTACCCTTGTTGCTAAGCAGCTCTCTCTGATGGACGAGGAAAAACTTCTTCAACTCATTTTTAATGGTTAGGTGGCTCTTCAAGAGGAATGTGTTCTTATTCACGTCGTCTAACGAATTGAGGATGTTAAGACTGCAATGGGTGTTGTCACTACAGAGGATGTGAAATATTTCTTCGTACGTATAAACGGATAAGAACTTCTTGTAGTATTCCTTCTTTGAGTCGAAGAAGATATTCTTCTTCATGATGTATATGTTGGGTTGTCGGCTGGAACTGATCAGTTTTATCCCCCTCTTAGAAAAGGATCCATCTTGTGCCTCCTCCACCCTCTCCATCCTTTTATAATATTCATCATTAAAAATTGTATTCTCATAATTGGCTCTGTTTTTTTTCCTCAGCTGCATCATTATATCCTGAATCTTCTTATCGTCTACTTTATTTACAATTTTATTTGAAAAAAAATTCTTAATATCTGGCTGCATGTCTAAATAAATATTGCTTGTTAATACATTGTACTTAACTGTATAATTGTCCACACAGATAAGTACGTCATTAAAATCCCTTTTATTTTTTCCCTTTGCTTGGGCTAACATTTGTACATTTTTTATAATCAAATCGATAATGTGGAGATCCACAATGACGTAATAATTCAAGTAGGACAAATCGTGTGCCTTTATTAAGGGGTCCTTTAAATATATATAAATGTTCATAATTTTTTCATTTTTTTTCCCCTTAATATAATTGTGTAGAAAATTGAAATACATAAAATTGCTCTTGAAGAAAGAATTATTTTCATAATTTAAAACATTAATTCTTTTTCCACTTAGGAGAAAATCATTTATCACGTAACTGGAGAAAGTGTCAAAGTTGCTGTTACTGTTCAGGTAATCCATGGCAGATGTTTCGAACCTATTTATATTCTCATGGTTCCAGTTCCGTATGCTTTCCGCCTTTTCCTTTATCACTTGGCTAAACTTTTGCTCCATGCTCATCATCTTGTTCTTCAGAGCATCCAGGTACTTGTTCAGCTCCCGCAGGTTCGTGCGCCTCTCCTTGTCCAGTTTCTGCGCAAAGGGGGGGGAAACGAAAAATATGAAAAGGGGGGAAAAAGGCAACATATGAACACGGGGAACAAATGACACATGTGGAGGTGGTGGTATACACCCGTTGGCTGCCCTCCTCCCCAATGAACGCGTAGACTCCCGCCCAACATACCTTCTTGTTGAGGTCACTCAGCAAGTCAATCTTGGACAGCAGGTTCTTGTATACGAAGTTCACGTAATATATATTCTCCCTCTGAATATTATTAATGGTGTCATTAAACATTTCCAATTTTACATTCTTCAGATTCTCCAAATACTTCGAATACCTGTGTAGCTTGTTCTCATTGTAGGAGTAAATATGATTCAAAATACTTTCATTGTGCTCGTAGGACTCATAAAGATTGGCGTCATGCTGAACCAGGTTTTCGAATTTGTTTTGCAGTTCCTTCTTAAAGTCGACGATGTAGTTGTTCATTTCTTCCAGGTAGTGCACTACGTCTAGGATGTTCTGCGCCAGAGAGTCCACACTGTTCGTCACTCCCGGTGTGTCTTCATTTTGACCATCCTCCGTGTGTGGCGAATTAGAACCCTTCGTATTGCTGCCGTAACAAAACGGGCGCTTCCTCTCCACGTATATCTGTACCAGCCAACACACAAGTAGGTGCCTACTCAGCCGTCTGAAATTCATCCTGTTTATTATCCTACACGTCGTTGTACCCCCCCCAACCTGAACCTGCCTCTTCCCACCAGTAGACAGTACAAATAAAATTCTTCCCTCAATAGGGTTGCAGCTGTGTACTCGCTACAACACGCTTTATATTCACACCTTTTTTTTTTTTTTTTCTCTCTCTTTCGATGCAGTTCATCCGTAAGTATATTTCCTCTCTTTTTTCTTTCATCACAAAGCGTTTCATTAATGCGAAATGGCATAGTTAACAAATCTAGTGTTATAGAACAGGTTTGTGGCGCGTGGTTTTGAAGCCAAGTTGGCATAAGCTCACCATAGTGTTTAGCCCCACACGCAGAGGGGGTGGAGAGACTATGTGGCAAAAAGGGAAGATAAAAAAAAAAAAAAAAAAATGAATCATGCAAAGCCGAAAAAAAAAGAAAACAAGTGCCGCAAATCGGTCAGCAAAACAGGACTGCGCAAACTACAAAATGTTCCTTATGGTTTCTACGCTGGACTCAATTCTCCTCAACAGGTTATCTGTAGAGTTGGGGAAGAAACCAAAGAAAATTGGTACACGCATCCAGTTGCCAATCCGGTCAAGTGTAAGGGGCTTTGCGTGGCCAGTCGCGGGCGAGGCCAACAAAAGCGATGCCCCAGGGGGGAAGGACCCGCTTCTTCATTTTTTTCCAATTGCTACTCACGCTAATACGCATGGTAACAATGTAAAAAGATATGCAAACTATATGTATGTTATGAACATATTTTTGTTTTTTTTTTTTTTTTTCTTTCCTTTAATCATGAACGCAAGGGTTCAGGGCGGGGGGGGAAGATGGGGCCAGCCCAGGCTCACAAAACAATACACAGAAATACTCCACTCAGAAAATTCAATGCAAAGAAATACGAACATGCAAAATGAAGCGCAAACAAATGGAGAAACAACTATGGTATAACGCAAACGAATTTTGCGGCTTGCCTGCTTCCCCCAGTGCAAACGGTAAACTGAAGCTTGTATGGGCAAGGGGTGGTGCCTTATGCAGGCTTCTCTTCCACGGGCGAAGAAAAATAATCAAAATTGCCAACGGGCCAGCGTAGAGCCACAAAAATGTATTTATATGAACGGAAAAAAAAAAAATAAAGCATTAATAGACGAAACAGATGGATAATAAAAAAAAAATAGCTGCATAGATGCGGAGCATAGGAGAATTCAAAAGCTGGGCTAACTGGCACAAAGAGGGCACGGTTCACCTAGATGGCAGAAGGACAAGCGCCTCCCTCCCCCCTGTAACTTTATTAGGGATACGGCCACGTCAGCCGTACCTGTGTTGCTCAGTAGCTTGCTCTGGATGTGCATATATTTCTGTTTGGTTGTTTTCTTTTCCCGCTCGTTGGTCTCTTCGTTAAGGGTTAAATTTGACTGAACCTTCTTTTGTAAAATGCTGAAAAAGGAAGGGGGCGAAGAGGAGGGGAAAAAAGAAGCGAAATCATTTTTTTTTTCCTATTTTTTTTTTTTTTTGTATTGGAGTTGCCCCCTTTTCCGCCCAACCGTTCATTCCGTTCATTAATCCTCTGCAATGATTCCTCAGACAGGACGCTCCTCTGCTGCTTTTCCATTTTCTGCTTAGGGAAAAATGAAGCACAATTTTTTAGTGCATCACGAGCGATCGTGTATGTCCTCTTCCGTGATGGAGGAGCCCACCATTTGGTTCCGTTTTTTTTTTTTTTCCCATTTTCCCCCCATTTTCGTGCGTTACGTTTTTCTTTATTTCCTCCTTTTTGCTGTTCAGCTGCTCCTGTATCATCTGCTTTTTCTTTTTGATGCTGCACGGTGGTGTGGGACAGAAATGGGTAACATTGGACAGCGTAGGGAAAAGGGCCCCGTCGCTCCTGTGGCACAATCCTATATTGGCCATTGCTCAGGAGCAGTGCTCCCCGTAGTGCGCGCTTACTTCTCGCGAATTATTTTGTTTATTTTCATTTCCTCCTTTTTCATGTCCTGCAGTTCCTTCATCTTGATCGCCGACTCTTGCTCTGCGGTGCAACGGATGGGGTTCAGAGTGAGGCAGGGGTGTGGTGCATGATGGAGGAGCCAAATCCGTCAACAGTGTAGCAACCGCGTAATATCCTCGTGGCGTCCCCCCGTTTTTGTTACTCACGTTTTTTCTCCCTCCATTTTTGTATCATGTACTTTTTCTCCTCAACCTTGGAGTCGTTTTTGCGCTGTTCCTGTGTTGAAGTAGAGAGCAGGGACAATGTGCGCAAGTGAAAACCGTTAGGTAAAAGAAGCCCATGAAAAAAAGGAGCTCCCTAAATTGGTGAAAAAGACATTGCACTGTGAAAATAAGCTAAAGGGTGATATCCCCCATGTCAAGTCAGTTCCTCCTTTTTTTTTTTTCTTTCCTCCCAGCTCTTACATTCACATTAACGATGCTGATGCTGTTCAGGCACCTGTTCTTTAAATTATTGTGCGAGATGAACTGCTTGTACCAAGACACGTGTTCAATAAATTCTTCCTCCGATTTATTCATGCAGCCTTTCAGAATGCCCAAAACAACCTTAACAACGGGGAACCGTTTTTTGTGTTAGGATTATCAAATGCACTTATCTGAGGTTGCCCCTTTTCCTTTCCATGTCTGCTCTGAACGAAAGGAACACAATGTGGAGCTGCCTTCTCTGTGGACTACCTCATCTCCCAAATTTGCATTGCTTTCGTACACCTTCATAAAGTAGTTGTGTTCGTCTTCATCCCAGGTGCCCTGCGCGCCCGTAACCGTTCGTGTGTTTCATGTGTATGTCCTTGGACAAAGCATACATGAGAAGTAAATCTTTGTGCACCCCTGCGTAATATGCTCATGGGATATTTAAGGAGGTTTCCTCTTTTCTCTCCCCATTTGGCCATGTACCGTTCTGCCGCCTATGTCTCTAATGTGCGCATTCACTTCCAGCAGCTTCTGTATGTTCCTGTGCAGCGTGTTGTCTTCAAATGGGGGGTAACATACAAATGGGTTAAACGCATAAACATGGATAATCACTATTACCCTTTTTAGGGTCAATCAGGAATGCCCCCTTTTATTATTATTATTTTTTTTCTTTCTTTTTTGCTTACCCGTGTTCACCGATTCGTAACACCCCTGGAGGTACTTCCCAACATCCTCATCAACTGGTATATCGTGCTTGGTCACAGCCAAATAGAGGACGACGTTTAGCTGGTTCTTCGAAGGGGAGAAAAGAGGGCAGCGTGTGGAAGAACATGGTAATGCATGACATAGCGTCGCGTCGCCTGGCGCCTCAAAGTAGTCAGTTCCTGATCCGCCTCAAAATCCCCTGGTCACCTCTTCCAAGTATTTCTCCCGGAAATCTTCGAAGATATTTTTGGACAGAATTAGGTACTCCTTTTCGTTTAGCTCGGAAACTGCGCTCGTCGCAAATGGGAGCGGTAAGTGCAAGTGGCAAATGGATGCACGTGTAGACAGGCGCCACTTAGCCCATCACGTTGATCCCCCCTCCGTCCCTTTTGTTCTTCACTTTACAAACATACCGTGAGCCCCAATATTTTTTTTGAACTCCGAAACGGTCTTTTGCAAATCGGATAGCCACTGATTTGAAGGAAAAAGTGGATACACCCATGTGCCCATATTTCGATATATACAGGTGAAGCGATGGCAGTTGTAAGCATTTCTTTTCAAAGGGGAAGGTAAAACAAAAAAAGGACTTTTTTTTTTTTTTTTTTTTCACACCTCCTTATACTCGTTGTCTAGGAAGTCCTTGTGCTGCTTAATGCTTCGTCTCTGTGCATGGAGAGTGGGACATGTACAAATTCATATACATTTCCCCGTGTAGGCTTTTTCTTGTTTTCATCTTTTATTCCTTATATAACCGTTATTTGATCCATGTGTTCACTGTTGATTGTTTTATTCATTTCCTTCTCCAATTTACGGAAGCTGCTCGGTGGGTAAAAGGGGCGTTCGTTGTTGCCACATGTTCGGTGCAGCAGCTCGGGTAAGGGGGCACATGGGTAGAAAAACCCAAGTATATAGTTGTAGAAAAAGGGAGACAACATGAAACTGAAAAACATGGACACGCTAAAATTGCATGCGTAACTTTTCAACGTACGATGATGTCAAGTGTCTATATTTTGACTTCCAGTCGTTTATATCTAACAGAAGGGAAGGAGAAAAAAAAAAAAATAATAAAATAAAATTATGTACCTGTACAGGTGAATTATCGCTCATATTTACACCAAATGGGCATCATCACAGGGAAATATTTTTTATAAGCTCATAAATGTGTAACCTTTTCTCATTTTCAATTTGTATTTTTTTTTTTTGTTTTTTTTTTCTGCTTTCCTCTGGGGACACCCATCACAAATTACGTGTTGTGGAATTGTCTCTCCAGTGACTTGTTCCACTCACCCTTAATTTCCATATCGAAGAGGGCATTTTTCTTTTCGTTCATGTGCATTTGTTCTATGTTAGTAACATTGTCCTTTGTGTCGACGGGGTCCTCGTCACCCTCTTCACCTGACTTTTGTGGGTTGTCTCCGTCTAGGTTGAGCTTTGTACCCGCAGTTGTCTTTCTCTCCCCCTCTGCATTAGAGAAGTAGGTTTTGTCACAGATTGGCCAAGTGGAGGTGCTGTGTATAAGCATATGTACACGTATGCTTCTGTTTGTTCGCTTATTTTGCGGCCCCTCGTACCTTTGTTACCATCAGCGCTTTTCCCCGGTTCGTGCCCAACCCCTTCCGCGTGGAGTACATCCCGGTCATCTTCACTCGAGTGGTTAGCATTTTTATCAGTACCGCCATGAGGTAGTGCATTTTGCTGTTCTTCGTTTTCTTCTTCTTCCTCCTTTTCTCTCGTCTCTACACCGCTCAGATAAACCTACCGTGCGAGGAAAAATTGTGCAAATCCTCGTCAAAAGGGCGAAAATAATTCGAGAAGCAAATAAAACGGGCGAAGCGCAAATAGTCGCGGGAAATGCCCTCTACGCGGTGTTACCCAGCGGCGTGCGCATGTCTTACGGGGCCTGAGCTAAGGTGATTCCTGGCTGCACTCCCCGCGCCAGTGTCCTCCACCAAATAATCGTCATCCTTATCGCATGGGGACTCATTGTTGGAGGCATCGCCTCCTGTGTCGCCCGAAATGAGCACATCTTCGTCTGTTAAAATGATGTGGTCCTCACTGTCTACATAACTTGCGTCTTCTATTTCATCCCCACCCCCATTAGAAATGTCCTCATCTGATTTTATTTCATTTAAAGAATTAACTTCTTCCTCCTTCATGCCTTCCTCGATGGTGCTCATATATTTCATCATCATTTTATTTTTCTCCCTATTCGTTTTATGCTTCCATTTTTCATCGTCGGAATTTTGTTTACTAAACGAATCATAGTACCCCTTCATGCTTCTTTTCCATTCCTACTCCCCCCCCCTTCCCGAACAAGATGATATATACAGCAGAGGAAGATGGTGTACCGGATCAGGCATAACCATACATGGAGAGTGTACACACCAGTTACTCCTACTACGTTGGTCTTCTTATGCTAATGTTTTTTTTTTTTTTTTTTTTTTTCGAACAAACGGGGAGGAATAGTCACTTTACCAAAAGGGGTACATGCATCAGTGTGATTCATTTATCACCCCGGAAAAAGGCATTTGTGATCACCTATGTTTCGCTAAAGGTTTGTAGACTCTCCTTGAAAGAGACCTGTTCGTAATTAAAAAAACAAAGGACTTTCAATCGGTACTCTAATGCATGAAGTCTTTTGTGTAAAGCTAAGCATATGAAAAGGCCTTTAGTCATTGGTAGGGAGAGAAACGTGCTTCACTTGTTCATATGAACAAAATGGTGAATGCGAATTTATGCCATCTGATTTGTTTAAAAGAGAAAGATAAACTCATGTGGACAGACAAAAAAGTAGATCCTTTTAGATGATACTTACACATGCGTACTCTTGCGGGAAATTAGAGGGATTTTTTTTTTTTTTTTTTTTTTTTTTTTATCTGCCTTGAATGGATGGACCCACTAATCGGTATGAAATGACGAGACAAATGGGGGAACGTCCTGTTCTCACCCTATTAAATTGAGATAAAAAAGAAGAACACAGGAAATGCTTCACTTAATAAAAAACGTATTATTCACATTTTTGTAAACCTCCTTTTTCGTGAAAAACACGGTTTGCAATTATTTTGTCTGGACGCAAGCTGACTCTATGTTAACCCTTTTATCGCATGGCCAACGGGCTGAAGCACAAGGCGAGAAAAAAAAAAAAAAAAAATGACCATTTTATCCTCCCCATAAGTAATTCAATGGACCACACCTATGCTTGCCAATTCGATGAGATTACAAAAGAGAAGGTTTGTTTTATTTTGTCCCGAAAAGAATTCTGCAAAGGTATGTTTCTCATTTAAACGATGTTGCTTTAGACGTTTTTTTTTTTTTTTTAATGAGCGCGTTAATGCGGGGATACAAAGAGCCGCCGCGAAGCTGGCCGTTCTTTTATTCCCGTTCGCAAATGTAAAGGTTGCAGTTAGGCCCATGTCAACTGTGGCATCCCAAAAGGGGGGGGAAAATACACACGTGTGTATAGACATGCTGTGCGCTTAAGTATGCTTCGCAAAGTTAAGGTGGGCCTTTCTCATGGGCGCGCCCTTCTGCCGAAGCAACACCAGCTCGCTTCCAGTCCTCCTTTTGGGAGCGGGACAATTCGTCGCACATCCGCTGACGGGCCTATTCGCCTATTTATTTATGAAGGCGCAACGGCGGCAAACTTCGAGTGACGATTCGTACAGCGTCCACAGGCCGCCCGTCCGTCCGAACATTCCATTCCTCCTTGCTGCCCCAAATTTGATGACAAATTGTTGGCGTCATTTTGGCCCAGCAGTTTTCAACATGGTTTCTTTAGAGCCTCCACAAAAATGGCACTTTTATTTTATTTTATTTTTTTTACACAAAATGGGGGGCCGGGGGGAGAGACACACTTTGTAAATAATGAGCAAAGCGGCATCGCTGCAGCATCGCAGCGGCAGCACAGCATTGACCAACTACTCGCGCACACCTCGACAACATGCTGCGCGAAACAAAAACATACACACGTGGACCATCAATAGCTCAATGTCGCGCCCCACCAAATGGACAAATCGAGGTGACACCTTTTAAATTGCGCCATGTGAACGTGAGGTAAATTTTGTAAAAAATGGATGACGGCATGGCGGCCGACTTGTCTGCACTGCATATGGCGTGAAAAAATTTTCGGCGCAAAATTTGCAGCGAAACATGCGGTGAAAAATCCTGCGAAAATTGCTGCAAATTTTTGTTTTTTGCTTCATTCCGCCGCATTTTTCCCTTACGATGGATTTGTTTATAAACCAACTCGCACACCATCGTATGCGACATTATGTACACACACTGTTGCCGCGTCGATCCTATGCGGAAAAACCACTCAACCGTCTTGTTCCTTTTTTTTTTTTTTTTTTTTTTTTTTTTTTTCCATGCCGCTGTTGTTTTTATTTGATAATTATAACAAAGGCACAGAGTGGGATTTCTCCTGGGGGCAAGCACACATACGTCAATACTCGTTAGTTGTAACAGTGTATGGGGTGCGGGCATCTTCATTTGCGCGATTGACGCAAGCCACTTCTTTTGATCCTTGGCTTCACCGCCCTACCACAGTTCCTTTCCCCTACTGACACCCCCGGACATGATGAAAAAACGGGCGAGCATCACAAACGTCGAGCTGGAGGAAATCGTTTTCATATTGTTGAACTGTCTGGACGAAGAAAAAAAAAAAAACAGAGAAATTATCAACACGCTTAAAATATATCTCTTGTACCACAAGGGACAAATCCTCAACTACGTGTTTTCCTTTTTGCAAATTCAGAAAGTCAGTCATGAAAATCAAAAGTTGCTACTCTGCTTGGTTCACGACTTTGTTCATTATTGCATTTATAATCGCTTCAGCAACACTGTTGATGAGTACCTGGACGAGGTGAAAAGGAATGAAACAGAAAAGGAGAAAAGGGGGGCCACACAAAAGAGGAAGACTCACAAATTTAAGGACCTACACATATTTGAAAACATTTTAAAGTACTCCTTCTTTGATGGCGATGAGTATTGTTTTGTGTTTCAGGATCTCCCTGAGGGGGAATTTCTTCCAGACGCAATTCCAGTGCAGGGTGACGCGGCAGAGGCGGGGCCTCTCCAGAAAGCAAAAAGTGAAAGAACCGCTTTTCCCCCATTAGGGAGCCTAAACCCTGCAACTGATGGGAACCCCATGGAGAAAATTATAAGAAGAAGGAAAAAGAAAAAAAAGGGGAGCATCTTTCATCAGGATAAAGTTGCAAAGCTCCTATGCCTCAAAAAGGACGAATACAAAACAGCTATTATAGGTGAAGCAAAATCCCCCCAGAAATCAGATCAATTCACATCTCTGCAGAGGAACTTCCCCCACTGGAGCGGAGGGAGCCACACGCATAATGCAAAAGAAACTTCCGAAATAAATAACATCATCAGAAATATCATTGACTTCCTCCTGAACGAAATTTTGTTCATTAAGAGGGACGATGAGCGACACGGGATCATGACCAAGTTGCTCATTCTGTGCGTCGTGAGGGAGGACGCTTATTTGAAGAAGAAGCTCGTGGAGAAGCTAAACGGATGTCTGCGCGTGCGGGGCGCTGCTGTCTCTGTGAGGGACTCCCACGAGGGGGAGCCAAAACCGACTAATGATAAAGCATGTGACGGAAATGTTCGCGACGGAAACGTGCGTGACGAAAAAGGGTGTAACGACAAACCGAATGATGACTTTCCCGGGAGGGGTAACCCCAAGCTGTGCGCCTACCTGGAACTCTACATCGACCTCTTCACCCAAGTACCGCACCTCACCAAAAACGTCCTGAACGAATTCTTCAACGCGATCCTTTCTCTGGGCCACAGCACCAGGCATACAGATCTGACTTACAAAATCATGACCGAAATATTTAAAGACATTCAGTTCCCCTCAGTTCTCTACACCATCATCAACATGAACAAGAAGTATAAGAGGAAGAACTTTATTATCCCAAATGAGCACTACACTAATGTGTACATAGAAAATGACATAATTCATTTGTCTCTTGAAAACACCAGCGAGGATACCTGCACAACGTATACCAGGGAGTCGTCCCTAAATTCGAACCTCCCGGGGAAGAATAGCGACAATATTAGACAGGCCAACGTGCACAAACACAGGGAAGGGACAATGAAAGGGAAAATCACGTCCTGTGTGGACCACGCCTCTGAACACACATCGAAGAATGCATCCCCACGTGACGTATTCTATGACGCGCACAATGGGGAACTGGGGCGAGATGGGTGGGATATGCCCCATGGAGGAGAATGCTCACAAGAGAGAAGCAGTGATAGCAGGACCGAGTCTAGCAGGGGTGCCTCCAAAGGTAAACACGATTTGGTGAAGGCCTTCCAGAGAGAAGCTAAACCAAGTGAGCATCCTTCTGAAACTTTTCGCAACGAATCGGAAGGGTCAGAAAAGTACTACACGGTTAAGAATTGGATGGAAGAGGCAGTCTGCCAGGTGCCAAAGGGAAGTGGGAGGAGCCGCAAAAATATGGGTGATTTCCTACCTGACAAAGCATCGCGGCCCACCTCCTCTTCTTCCTCCTCATCATCTTCTTCGTTGACCTCCTTTACCGCCAATGGCATCGGTGAGAAGGAACGAAAAAAGACGGAAGAAATTAGAGCCGTGTGTACAAAAATGTTAGCCCTGTACCTTAAAATACTTCCCAGCCTGAAGCAGAACAGCGAAAATTACCACAAGGTCCTCTACATCATATCCAAGTTGATTCTCTACATAAGCAATAATGAAATGATGAAGCAGGTGATAGAAGTGTACATCCATTACTTCCTCGTTTTCTTCCATTCGACCATTAACAATGCTATCATTAGTGACATCTCAACGGTCTACAATAAGGACTTACAGTTGCAAATTAACTACAATAATGTAAAGGGGTTGCCACAGTACAATATAATTAATAGCTTCCGAAGCATTCTTCAAAAATGTCTGACCAAGATACACCTCATCGTCGGATTCGCTAACCACATTCTCAAAGTAGCATATACAATTCTTATTATAATGATTAATCAAAACTACACGATGAACAATGCCAAGGGGGTTCTGACTTACATAACATCCAATGTGTACGTTTCTACCTTTATTGAAACCATGGAGTTATTTAACATTTTTATAACGTGTTCATACACAAATAACCTTGTGTTTAATTTGATCAGGGAGAGGGTGAAGTCTAACGTAAAGGTAGAAGTTATGGTTTCACTCACATTGTTGAAACAGTACCTTTTGCTCATATCGGGGGATATAGGCAATGGAAATATTGTCCATTTGTCAAACCAAAACATTAGGACCAAACGAGGTGCTTACAAGAAAAGCTTCAAACGATTAAACAGCTTCATCAATGACACGAATAGAACTAACACGAGTAGAACTAACACGAGCAACGTCGAACTGGTCATACAAATCGTGGCAAATTTATCTGATCGCTTTAGTAACGATTTAAGTATCATTTATATGCTTTTAGAAATTGACCTCATTTTGTCGTATCACCACCATTTTGATTCCTTCTCCTTCAACCCCAGTGTCATACTCGGGCTACTCCCGAGGGTTAGCAGCCCCCTCTGCGACTTGTACATGGTGTCCGAGGGAACCCGCGCCACAAGCGCAAGGGGGAAGAGTGAAAAATGTGAAAAAAGTGAAAAAAGTGTTAATGGGGAGAACGGAACGGGGGAAGCCAGCCCAAGTGGAGAACACACCCTTGCCCCCAAGGAACACCAGCCGAAAGACCAACCGAAACAGCGCATAAACACCATGGGGTATCATGGCGAGGAAATTAAAACGTGGCTTCTCATCCCCAACAGACACGTGATCAAAATAATGCACTTCCTAATTAACATCCTGCTGATCGAAGAATCAAAATTTAAAAAGCAAAATAAAAAATATGGTTACTCAGTTGACGACAATGGAACCATTATAGACATAAACAACACATCCAATGAAGTTTTAAAAAACGGCTTTGAACATAACAGGATGTTTTTTGACGTACATTGGAACTTTTTCATTTTCATGTACCCTTCAGTTCCTTACATAAAGAAGCTAATATCGCTTGCATTTGAAAAACATTTTTGTTTCTACTCTCCTAGAGTGCTGTACCCCCTGCTGTTCGAATTATTGGTAGACGTAAAAAGAAGCTTTAGAATCGTAATTTCCATTTTGAAGGCACTAAACATTATGTGTATACTTCTACACAATCACATGATGAAGAAACACTTGAGACTTCACTCCAGACTGCACTACAATTACTTGGTCTTGCCAAATATAAGCAATGTTATTTCGGTGCTGTTTATGTACTGCACCCACTCCGATTTTGTTGTTTCCTTCCTCAGTCTGCAACTCATTTCTATCTTGAGGAGCTTCACTCAAGGGAAGAAGATCATCTCTGTGCAGAGCTTCACCTACTTTGAGTTGCTCCTGAGTTTTGTGAGATTAAGAAATCAGGTTGTGGCTTGCAACGGGGTGGCCGCTCCTCTCACTGGGGATAGTCTATACAGCAGAAGAATCCTCAAACACATAATTGCACTTACCAGAGGGGAGAAGAAAAGACCTCTAAGACAAGTTGCAGCTGCGAAGCGGGTGCAATACTACCGCTCTTTAATTAAAATGAGCTACAGGGAGATGGCCAAACGAATTAGCAATAGAGTGCTGAACGTTTCTTTGAATGTCAGAGGGGGGGGTCGACGCAAGAGTTGGCGGCGCAAAATCCGTGCCATCACCAGGCACTACTTTAACGTGGATTTGGACACGCTCGTCCCTCGCCAAGATGGGAGCGGAATGGACGTGACAACCGCGAGTGTGATCCCCGCGAATGTGATCACCCCGTTTAGCCTTGACATGGGGGGGTTGATGGGCACGAACGTCCAGGGAAACGGTGAGGCGAGCACATTCCCCGCCGCCCTGGAGTCCATGAGTTGCCGCTTCACTCGAATTCTACGACTGATGCAAACCATCTTTAGCAGCTACGTCAAAGTAGAGATAGACAGGATATACAATTACCACAGTTACGTGACGACCTTCTTTTACTCACTGGTCGAGTTGGTTCGGCTCATCAAAAGCAACCACGAATTTGAGAACACACTTATGTACCTAAGTGTCTTGAACCTACTATGCGTCATCATCAAGCAGTTCAGTGAGAAGTATGCAAATAAAATGATTACCATTTTTTTTAAGCTGAATGAAGAAGTACCTGTTAATGAGGAGGAAAATTTGTTCCTAACCCTTTATATGAATTTCTCCACTATATATAGAAGCCATTTTTTTAATTTATACAAGGAAAAGTGTACCACTCCTTATATGAAGAATTGTATTGAGTGTATTCAGTTAATGAGAGCAGACTACTTGTCCTCCAAGAGGACTAATGAGAATCAATTAGATTTGAACAATTTCATTTTGTTATCTAATAAATACAATACTGATGTGTCTAGGGAGAAAAACATTCGCCGTTTTCTACACTACTTGAAAAAATACCAGACTGTTTATAGAGCAAGATTGCTGCAGTTGGGAGTTTGCTCCGAGGGGGTAACCCATCATCATGGTAAAGCAGAAAGAGGGAACAATGATGTAAAGAGGAATCCCTCAGCAGCAGGAGAGAGATCCATCGATGGGGCACAAAACAATGGAGTACAATCAACTACCCTACAAGTGAACAACCAAGATGATTTGAAAAAACGTCTTTATCAATGTAATGAAGTGGTGAGGAAATCCTACCAACTACTGGAAGACAAACTAGGATCTTACATCCTCCAAAATGATATTAGCTTCCCCATAAACAAACAATTCCATCAGGACGTCACTGCCTACTACATACAGAGCATACTTCATAAGAACAACCTCTACCGGGTCCTCTTCCTGCTAAACAATATATACCACTCAGATGTGGCTAACAGAAAAAGTAGCGCCTTTTCCATCTTTGGGAAATCAAGCAATGTTATTAATTCGGAGAATATAAGAAGCACGTTAATACTTACCATGGGGAAGTGTCTGAGGAAAATTCCCTCCTCAAAAGTTCGAGACCTCTCCATAATGCGAGATGTGTACATGAACGAAAAAATATTTGTTATTTATATTAAAAATGTGTATGTGCCTTTAGTTAGGTATTGCATCGCTTTGGCAAATGCAATGTACGGGAAGGACGACACAGTTTTGAATGAGGAACATATTGTGAGAGAGGTGCTCTCCAACAAGCAGAAGTACGTGGATGCGCGATACAAGGACGAGATAAAAAGCAACGCGCTCGTTAGGAGGGACATCCTCTCTGGGTTTGAAAAGGAGGGAAGAGGATCTTCTTCCCCGTATAAATTATCACCCAACATGGATGGTAACGTGCAGACCCTGGAGGGCACACCTACCGCCAACAGGCCGCACACAGCGAAAGGTGCAGAAGACATATGGAAACGCCTTCTGAATGAAAAAATAAATCTACTGACGTTCCAACTTTTAGTCGACCCAATTATCTGCTCCCTGTACGAAGAAAAGGAAACGACTCTACAGGCAAATTTGCTCAGAGCGGTCAAAATGGTGTCGAAGAAGATAAAGTGCATTACGGCACCTGGTCGGGAAGAAGCACATAGGGATAACTCCACTAATGGACGTGGAGAAAATTTTGCAACTCCTCCCCCATACGCAGTCACTAACACGTTGGACATGCCAACACAGCGGTGCTCCATCCAAGATGTGTGTAATCATTACTTGAAAGAAAATGTAAATGACATCCCTTTTTACTCCTGCCTGTACATATACAAATATATAATTATCCACTGGGCTCTGTACTACCTAGACAACTTTAATGACCAGACGCTTCCCATCAGCAACATAACCTTTACCGGGGTGGGAAAATTTGCTCTTTACTTTAAACAAGACAAGAGTATAATTACAAATAAAAGCGAACACCAAGTTAGGGAAGATTTAAAAAAGAACAGATCAAATGAAGAATGGAAGAAGTATAACATGGAAGAGATGGACCTGGAGAAAGAACAACACATCATTGACAGAATTGACAAATGGGGCAAAATGATGAACTGGGAATGCAAAGAAACATACATAGAAGCTTCAGATAAAGTAATTTATAATGATTATTTTTCCGACTTGGTGAAGGAAAGGGGATCAAAAAATGAATCCAAACAAGGTGAGACAACCCCGGGGTACTCAACCCTGAGTGAGCCTCACCTAGACATACAAAATGATACCTACACAAATTTGAAGAATGCATTGAAGAGTATATACTACTGCCTTGTTGTACGAGAACCCATGCAGTTCCAATCAGCATTTATCATCGTACATGTCTTAACAAACTTGCTCTTGAAAATTGTGTTAAACGAGAAGAAGCAGATCTATCGCAAGTGGCACGAGAGTGCGTCTCCAACAAAAGATGCAAATGAGTTGGTCAGGAATGAACACGTGGACATGAACGACTCAGTTGTAAAGTTGGACGCCTCTCATATGCAGAGTAACCAGCTTAGGGAAAAGCACAAAAAGAAAGGGGCCAATATTTCAAAGAGGAAGAGAAAAAAAAAAAAAGCAAAGAAGAAGACCGAAAAGGGACATAATGAAGGACACATAAATGTTCCCCTCCGAGCGAATCAATGGGACAAAAAAACGCTTCACGCGAACAGCGAAACGTTCCGGAACCTAAGGAAGTACGAAGGGGATGCCTTGTCCTGCCTGAACTTCATCACATCCATCATCGTCAAAGCCGCCCTACATATCAATAGCTTCCCCCTGAAGTTTAAAATAATTAAGTACCTACAAGACACATGCGTGGCGACAAACATAGCAGAAGTTAAATTCTTATCCTTCCGGATCATATGTAAGATAGTTATTAATGCTGCTAGGGTGAGAAGCCCCAACGGAAGGAGGGGAAGAATGGTGCCTCTCGGTCAAGTCCCTCACGATGGAGCTCCTCATGAGGAGGCCGCTCAAACGAGTCACCTCAAAGCATGTAGATCAAGTGAAAAAAAGAACAACTATACAGATGAAGTAAAAGGGGACAAGTCCAAACAAAAAGGAAATGGGATTGAAGCAACCTATAGAGGAGGGAAAGAACATCTAAACGACCACGATGAGAAGAATCTATCATCATGCAACTCCTCAAACATTGACAAATATTTCAATTTAATTTTTTCTTCCAGTGGGAATATATCTTATGGAAATTTTGTCGATGCAAATGATGAGAGCGGGGGGACGCCAAACCTATATGAGGGCAACCACCAGAGCGGTAGGGACAGCGAAAAAAGTGCACATGGGGGGGAGCCAGATGCACAGAATGACTCAAGCGAACGCTACCTCGACAGCGTCAGCAACGCAGAGGGTAACGCGATAAAAGAAACAACACATGAAGGAGTAGGCGGCAAAATCCTGCAACAGAGGGGAGGAACAGTTGTACGTGACGAACACAGTGAAGCAGGGAACTTAAACGACCACACGGGGAGCAACAAAGGGTCCGACTCCAGCATCATGTATGACCCCTCTGATGGTGACAATTCTCCATGTGTGGATCCATCAAAGGGCAAGACGCGAGGGAAAAGTTTATCAGAAGGAGCGGTAGACAATATACCACACATGGATGATCGGGGATCCCTCCAAGAACAAAACAGTGAAGCACGAAACGAAGCGAAGAGTGAACGAAATTACATGTGCGAGTGCATAGGGCTTCTCATCCCTTACGTTAAAGACCCTGAAAGAATCATTAGCTACTTGAGCGTGTGCTCCGTCTGTGCACTACTCGCAAAGTTGCAGAGGGGAAGAATTCTGTCCAACTCGCACTTTGTTTACTTTTTTTTCAATCGAATAGAAGTTATTTTGGATGTTCTGTTCAACTCGAAGACGAATAGACCGAGAGGGAGAAAGGCGAAGAGGGGGGTGCAAGGGGAAAGGGCCAACTGGGAGGGGCAACTTGATGGGGACATTAACAACACCCTGGATGAGGACCCCACCAACCAACCGAGCAGCTGCGCTGCATATTGCGATGAGCACCCAACCGAAGAAACGTTCAGAGATGAGGGAGAGGGAATAAACGAGAAGACATGCGGCACTGATGGGGAAGATGAAGTAGCAGAAATGACCTGCCAAGGGGCAGAAGTTAAGAAAGAGGGTCTAAATGGTCGCCATCTGCGTCAACCTCACCAGCAGCAGCAGCACCACCGTAGGTGTAGCCCCCCAGTCATCCCACGGCTGAGTTACAAAAATATCAGGAGCAATATGTGCACTGTAGAATTGCACAACAAGTTTCACTTCAAGGTGGGACAGAGGATAAAGGAAATCAACCTGGGAACATACCAGACCCGTTTTATTAAAAGACTGGGAGAGCTTATCAACAAGGAAAGGACAGAAATCAATTTGTACAAAGTTATAAGTGATGTGATTAGCCAGGTGCTTTCCAGCCAGGAGAAGAAGTCCTATGTCAACTGCCTCATTAGTTGTATTCATAACAAGAACAGGCAGGTGGCCATGAGTGGACTCAACCTTCTTATGTACCACACGTGGACGGAACCAATCAGCCATCAGGACATTGATATAATTATGAATAGGGTCCTTAATGAAGTGCACTACTACACGAAGGTGAGTGTTGTGAACGCCCAAGGGCAGAGCCTCCCAAGTGGGTCCTTCAGCAAAGCGCCGACCCCCCGGGGCACGGACGACCCGAACAACACGCTGGAGGCATACCGCAATATGTGCAAGGCGCAGCAGAAGGTTAAGGGGTCAACTGATGACCGAAGCAACGAGCAATGTGACACACGAAGCAACGACCAACATGACAAACGAAGCAAGGAACCAAACATCCTCGAGAGGGCCCTACGTATAATCCTCCTGCTATGCAAAAAACACCCCTACGTAGTGGTGAACAAACTGTGCACACTCAAGTCCAAGTACAGTTACGAGCATGTGTACTTCATCTATATGATTTGTAACAATAAGACCTTGCTACATAAAACAATGGATTACCTGTTTTATCTAATGAACAGCCTAGACACACTTAAGCTGACCAAGAACCTGAGCAACATCCTTTCGTTGGTCTTCCACTTCCTCAAATTTCGAAATGGCTACATAAGGGACTACACAAGGAGGTACTTTATTGAGTTATTTATAATTATGTTTTATGTCCTTGGAGTGAAGCAGCTAGGTCATATGAGTGGGGTCGTGGGGGGCACTACTCATGCCAGCTCAGGCAAGGAAGATAAAAAAACATTCCTCCCAAGTCGATTACACGATAAGCAGCACACTTTTGATGAGGAAGCGCAACTGGGGGAGAACGTCACTGAGCGGGGCCAAGAGGACAAGACGGAAGTGGCAAAGGGGGCCGATGCCCCAGAATTGACGGAACACATATGTGAAGCTGACCAAAGAGAGGATACAAGTATGGGAGGTGCTGAAGGGGTGCAGGTAAGGAGCGGAGTCACGGGACAAAGCGATGCGAACGGAGCACCCACTCGGAGTAGAAGCTCGTATGATGCAAATAGCCAGGACGCCACCCGCCCACGTGAAGACAGCGATGACACCTTTGAAAATATGATCAACGGGTCCCCATTTTTTCTTAGAAGAAATAGCATACTTCGCAGTCGGGACGTGAAGAAGGTCTCGAAAAGAGAATTCAATAAAAGAATTTACCAAAATTACACCTGCAGCATAAGCGTGAATAATACGCTGAACTGTTTGAGAATTATAAAGGAGTTGCTAAAGCTAAATAAAAAAAAGAAGATCCTAAAACGTATAGAGGAGGGAAAGGTGGAAAAGCTCCTATACTACAAGCACTCTTTCGAAAACGGGTTAATTGAATTGGTGCACATTTTTTTGAGCAGCCTCGGGGGTGGTATTTCCAGACGGAGCATCACCAAGGAGAGTAGCGTGTACGAGGACCCCTACAAACGTGGCCACTACAGGAAGGTGTTCAATTTCTTGGAGATTTTCCTCAAAAGCAAAAACCTAAATTACGTCATTATTTCGCTGGTGACTCTTTCGCAGCTCCTCCTCTGCATGCGCATAGAACCAGAAAACTTGAAATTAGTAGAACCCATAATTAACGTCCTTTACCATGTCAACTGTACACACAAAAAAAACGACGTGGTCACAAAGTATCTACATCTGTGTTTCACCAACCTGTTTATCATTTTTAAAGATATTAGGAAGTACCAATTCGAAATGGGTTCAGAACCCATCCCTCTGTTAATCAAAGAAGAATACACCATAAACATACTGAACTCTCTTTTTGTAAACCTAGACAGTACTGACCGAAACATAGTTAAGGTGACTTTGAAGGCTTTCAAGGAGGCATGCAAGTATGCTCGTGCAGCATGGCCGTCTCCCCTGTGTGCTTCCTACATCAACATTTTAACCACCCCCGCAGTTGTTCTTCCCTACTTGAATAGCAGTGAGCCAGCGGAGAAGATACTCATGTGTGGGATTCTGCGTGAGATTTTTAGGACCTTGCGTTGGGAGAGGCTACGTAAGGGCGGGTCTGGATCACCCACTCACGAAGACAACACTCATAAAAAAGAGTTGTCCTCGACAACCACAGAAACAGCGGGCCTACAGAAGAAGCACGTGTACGAAATTGCCACCTACCTCATGATCCATCTGGTCGACAAAAGGAAAAATGTCTCGACAAACGTGTGGGTGGCTTTGAAGGAGCTCCTCAGGTGGAAATTCTCTCACCATGTAAATGAAACGTTGTTATATTTTGATCGCAAGCTGTTCCTCCCCAGCGGGTCCGAAGTGGACGACAGGGTCAGCCGCATCAACACACAGAGGGAGCACATCAAAGGGGAGGGTGAAAAGGTGACAACAGGGGGGGCGGACTACGAGTACTTCGCGAAGGGATGCTCTTGGGATCAGAAAAATGGCTCAAGGGGGGAAATAAGCATCGGGGTGTTAAGCGGCGTTCCTGAAGATAGATCTACGGGTGGCCACATTAACCATGTAGAGAAAGTACATTCGCAGAACGTGGCCCCTTATAGTAGGAATACCACTGGGGAGCGGCTTAAGGAGGGGAAGAAGAACAAAAGACACTCAGCTAACAGTGCTGCGAACAAATCGGATGAAGAGAGTGACATGAGTCAAGCGTACAGTTCGTCTGACATAAAGAACGATAAGATCAACGCGTACTACTATAAACTCCTTGTGGAGATTTGCATCCCCCTTATTATATGCACCGACACGAAGGTGTCTCTCAAGAAGAATCTGTTCATCGAGTTGAATAGCTACTTGTACAGTGCTGAATTGGATTCAAACGAAGAAGAGAATAACAGCTTGCTGAATGTAAAAAACGAGAGTGAAAGATTGCACCAAATATTTTTTACTAATCTGAAGATGAACCTAAACAACATCAACAGCGTCTACAGAGCTTATATTATCCTACTGAGCAGCAGAATTTATTTGGGCACAAATATATGGAATGCCAACATCCCAATTAGCGACGACATTGAAAAAATGATAAGTGAGTATGAAGTGAAAAGCACCAAGTCTAGAGCAGAGCATGTGCTGTTTGGGGACTTGCGAAATTATATGCACACGCGGAAGAGAAGAGAAAGAATAGAGAGACGTGAGAGGAAGAAAAACCAAAAGAAAAAACAAAAGGATGCTAGTGGGGAAGATGCTATGCAAAAAAGTATCACCTCCGTTTTGACGGACTCCATATTGAGCACCCTTTCTGGTACCTTCAACTATTCTTACGACGGCGCCTTTTTTAACAGCCTTAGTGCTAGTGGCAGCGTTGGCCCAGAATATAACCAACGGGGGAAGGATTCAATAACTGCGGGTGCCAAAAGAGACACTCACAATTGCAGCAGAACCGAGTCGAAGCATCAGGCCATTCAAACCGTTAAGACGACAGGTGATTGTTCTGCTCCCCCGAATGAGAATTCGTCTAGCGGCGCCGATTATGCGGATGATGCAGATGTGCGTAAGGGAGAACAACCAACAAAGGGCCCTTCTTCCCCTCAAGGTAGGGTTACAAGCACGCACAACATAGCAGCCCGCGAAGATGGGAAGGACGTTTGTGCGATAGGACCAAACGGAGGGCCAACTTGTGATGATAGACAAGGGGAACAGCTTAAGTGGGAAGCGCCGCTGGAAGACGCACATGGTACCCCCCTCCAAAGAGAGTTCCCCTCCTTGGAATATAAGAGAAGCCGCTCATTCGATCCGGGGGAAAGTTTGTCCAATGAGAACTACGCTAATTTTATTTCGAGCAGCGACGAGGGGGAGGAGTTATATGTGGGGGCGGCATTGGGGAAAGATGCAGGTGACGATGCCTCTGACAAAGACGCATCAGTAAAAGGTGTTGCACCCCCCGCCGAACTGCTCAACTATATGCCGGGAGACCGAAACGTGAAGCAATTTCTGAGGCGGAAATTTGCCAAAATAGCTCTCCTCAACCAAAAGTACAATTTCGTAGACAATTTTAAAACAGTGCTGAACTTAAAATTGGAGACAAGTCTGTTGCAGTGGATTGAAGTGTTGAAGTTTCTGAAGGAAGACCCCCCTGAGTTCGTCCTATGCAAGGAAATCAAAGGTGCTCACTTATCTGATTTTTTCGAGCCCGCTTTAATATGCGCACTGGCAGTTATCAAATTCGTTTCGCTCTCATTGGATTGTAAGAAACTGCATCGGGTCACCTTCAAGAGTATGAAGAGGGAAGCTCAAACCACAGGGGACGCACAAAATTTACATGTAAATGTGGTCGGAGGAGGAGAAGAGGTGTCCCAGTCCTACCTGCAGGATCATATGGAGGAAACATATTTCATTCAGTTGCTGTCCATTTGCACCAAACTGGAAGCCCTTTGCTCTTCCATCAGCAAGCAGCTGTGCGCCTTTTTGCAGGAGGAGCGGACGCCGGAGCACTTGCCCATCATTAGGGCCTTGGCCACGCTGTCCATCTTGAAGCCGTCCCCTTAGCTGTGCAATAGTGGAAGCATGCCCATATTCCACACGCACATTTGTATGACAATTTGCATTTGTTTTTTTTTTTTTTGGTTTTTCCCTTTTGAGGGGTGCTGCTTTTCAATTGGCTTCTCCCACCCCCAAGTGTAAGAAATTAATTTTTTAACGACGCTTTTACGCGCGATCTGTTTCGCAGTGTTGAGCAAAACGTAAAGACAGCGCAAACGGAACACAGACATACACACAAAAAAAAAGAAGCCAAATGGTCATATCAAATGCGGGCCAAACCAACTGAGACGCAAAGCGGACAAATTGGCAAATACAATAATGAGCGGGTTGGTGAAGTATCATTCGGATGGGAAAAGAATATGGACTCCTCGATTTGTCTTCCCCACGCCTTTTTTTTTTTTTTTTAAAGCCAACTGGTCGGATAATACAGGAAAAATGCTTACCCCTGTCAGTTACGACGTTTCTATTTGCCCCCCCGCGGCGTACTCCTTAATCGCGCTTATGAACTTTTGGATGGCCGACTCGGGTGCGTCGTCCACGTAGGACCACTGGAGGAGGAGGTTACTTCCTCCATCGTGAATGGCCCGCAGAGACAGAAACGACAGGAGGCAAAAATACCCATCACCTTCCTTCACATTTTTTATAATTACCCCTTCGCCCAAAAAACGGATGCTGCTCCTATTCTTCGTGTCCACAATTTCTTGGAAAAAGGAAATTACAAAATTGTAAAATTTGTTGTAGCTTATGGTGATGCTTTCCCTGAAGCGCAGGTTAATTAGTGGCATGCTTACTTGGTCTTCATCCTTAACGTAGTTGCGCGTGCGTCTGGCGGTGCTTTGCTGAAGCGCGTCTCCGCACGCGGTGGGAGCGGCAATTGATGCACCTTTTGAGAGGTTAACCGGCTGCCCTTCCTGCCTCTCGTCCTCCCCGTCATGCTGAAAAAGACCTTCTCCAGTTGCTGGACATCCTTGCCTTTCTACCTCTGGCCCGCACACACCTTCCTCTGCGGCGTCGACCCACTCGGTGGGCACCTGTGCGAGCTTTTTACGTACATGTTGGGGGGAACTATGCTGTTCTCCTTCCTGACCTTCCGCTTCTTCCTCTGTAGCGTCCCCCATTTTTGACATTTCGTCGTACTTCCTTTTACCCGGCTGAGGGCGAGGACGAAGGGGGGATATTCCCTCCTCGTGTGCATTGCTCAGGCTTTCTTCCGGACAGCCAACTTCACCGAAGGGAACACTTGCGCCATTTTCAGTGTTGCCATTTTGTGCGTTTCTCTTCTGAATGTTTCCCAAACCGAAGAGCCTGTCCGAGGTGAAGCACTTGTCGCCCCGCTTAAGCGTGACGGGGATGCACCTAGCCCGCACTACGCGTAGGAGCTCCCGTCTGGGGAGGAACAAAAGGTAGGGCTTCTCACGAATGGTGATGTACACAACATAAGATGAAAAAGAAACGATGTAGTTTCCATCCCGCGATGCCAATTTAGTAGCGTCACTGCGGTAGAGGCCGCTTATCTTGTTGGAAGACACATGGGATGACTTTTTCTCCTTCTGTTCATTTATGTTACGAAGAATATCACGATAGAGTGAATCCTGCACATATACATATTTCATATTACCCTTGGAAAAGTTGAACTCGCAATTTTGCCCCAAGGAAGGACACAAGGAGTTAATTAAGTAGTGAGAAGATATATGTTTTGACAATTTTTCCATTCCATTTTTTTCTCCATGAACAAAAAGGACATTTTGTGGGAGCACATGTCTTATGAGTTGTTGAATACCATTAGAATCAGCGTGCGCAGAAAAGGAAAGGTAAATGATTTTACAAGCAACATTAAAATAAGAGCTTCCATCAAACGATATTTTCCTTTCTCCCATAATTAACTTGTGCCCTACAGTACCTTGAACACAGTACCCTGGAAGGACAATTAAATTTTTACTTGACCCTGCCCATGCTTTAAAAGCTTTTAGAGATAATCCAGTATGTAGCATCCCTGGAGTTGCAAACAAAACCATGGGCCTATTCTCACCCAAGTAGCTATTTACAAATGGAGAAATATTCGCAAAATCGAACAGGTTCTTTTGATCTGTAGAAACACAACTACTATTTACCCAAGAAGAATAAATTCGATAATACTTATTAGCATTTTCTGTCAACCCACATCCAAAATAAATGGGATAATTGATTCTCATTTTTCTCCAATAAGAGTCTAACAGTATTGACAATTCTTGTGCTCTTCCTATGGCAAACACAGGGATGAGTACCTTCCCTCCTTTGTGTACACATTCGTGTACTAAGTTGCACAGATCCAATTCAGATGCCTTTCTCGTTGGCCTAACATAGGTAGCATAGGTAGATTCAGAAATGAAAATCTCTGGATTCAGAGAAGGAATTTTAGTACTTCCAAGATGCTTATCTGGTACAGTATTATAATCACCTGTATAGATGACGCTAAAATTGTTTACCTCTATTTTGAATATACAAGCACCTAACACATGTCCTGCGTAGTATGGAGTGATAGACATATTGCCCATTTCAAATGTCTCATTTATTTGTAACCCTACCACTTTACCTATACAAGAATATATATGCTCTTCACTGATATTCCATGGATCCTTTTTTAAACTACTAATGTTATAATTTAAAAGTTCATCTGATTTTTCATTTAACAGTTTGATTTGTCTCTCGAAGTGTTTTTTTTCCCATTTTAAATCTGCTACTCGACATCCGTCCAGCAACAATATTGGACTCAGAGCCTTGGTTGGGTAACTCATAATTATGGTGCCCCTATATTTTAATATCTCTGTAAAGAAGGGCAATGCTCCTATGTGATCCATATGAAAATGACTTATAATGACACAATCAATTATTTCATTTATTCTACTTAAATTTTTTATTAACTTTTCCTTTTCAGATATGCTACTGTTTACTATACTTATATTCACTTCTGTGTTCAGGTGATGTTCATACACATTCCCTTCTCCCATCCCCTTTTCTTTCTCCACTGCATACGTGTCATTGTTTACCAGTATGTTGAAATTGGGATACTTCCTTTCGTCTTTGTACCCAAGGTGTGAACCGCAGTCGAACATCACTCGCCGGTTCTCTAACTCCACGATCACACAAGATCGACCCACCGTCTGCCCAGCTCCCAACACCCGGATCACAATCTTAGTGTGGTTGTAGTGCTGCATCGGGTGTGTTATATATATATATATATATATATATATATATATAGGGCGGGAGGGAAAAAGGAAGAGACGGTCAGTGCGTCCTTGTGGACAAGTGTTCTGGCCCAATTTGAGGGTCCCCCTTTTTTTTTTTTTGCTAAAACAGCGGTAGCTACTTCACAGCACACCGCAATACCTCTGTGTGTGTGTATTTATGTGTATGTGTGTGTGGTGTTGTTTCTCGCATCAAAGTGGTTTAAAAAATAGCCTTTTTTTTCCGTCAAGTCAGCGCTGACGTGCGTCTCTTTAGTTGGGGGGGTGTAGTGGGGAATGATGAACCCCGTTGGAGAAAAGTATTCACACGAGAACCAACCTGGTGGCCGTTCTCCTTCCCTTCAAAAGGGAAGCATTATTGTGTGGAACCTTTTGCCAAAGAACAGTGCATACCCCTGCAACCCCACCTGAACAATCCCGTTTTGCGAAATTGCAGAAAAGCAGGGAAGCTTCAAGCGGAGGTGTGCCACTCTCAAATCAGAGAACAATGTAATCTCCTTCCAAACGAAAAGGAATCTCAACAAACAAAAAAAAAAAAAAAAAAAAGGATACAACACGGAGGGGAAAATATATTTGCTTAGGGCTTTCTTTTCACATTTTGAAGTGTTCCCTTTTTTTTCGTAGCGCAGTGCGGCAATATTTTTTTTTGGGGGGCCTGTTTTCCCGCGCACAGGAGAGGAGTCCCATTAGGGGAAAAGTTGCCACAAAAAAAAAAAAAAAAAAAAAAAAAAAAAAAGAGCTATATACTTGGTGTGAACGTTTTTTTTTTTTTATTATTTTTTTTTTAATTTCGTTCCCACTTTTTAACTGCCGCAGAGGTGCGGGTCCTACAGCCGTGTTTTCTCTCTTATCCGTGTGGCATGCATTTGGCATACATCTGACGTACATTTAGGATACATTTGGCGAGTCCTGTTCCTCCTCCAATGTTCATGTTCCTGTGTTGGCTTATTCGTCGTGTAGAGGCAAGAGGTTGGCTACTTCCTCCACCGTTTGCTTGATGTGCGAAGGTGGAAAATGAGAGTGGGGCCCTGCGTGTGAAGCAATGTGCCATGTAGATACGCACATCTTTACACCTACATAATGCGCATGTTGCATGCTTCTCGGAAGGAGCTTCCACTAAGTTAACTACGTCAGTGTGAAGATAAGCAGGCGTCTCCCAAATACGTATCGCTGCTGTTTTTTTTCCCCCCCCCTTCCCCGTATGTGTTTGTCATTCTTTTATCTTCACGCGGGAACCTAACATGAGAATGCAACTCTTGCGCGCTCTATGCATCTACTGGGTAGGTACAGAATGCCTGCGCCTCAGTGACTGTGTGCCGGAGAGTGCATGCGTGGACCCCCTGAAAGGCAAGAAGGTGTATTCCTTTTATGTCCCCGCAAGTCCCCTCTTAAGAGCAAGGAAGGGGCGAACCCAAAAGACCCATGCCCACAGGATAAACAAATTAGACTCTCAATGTGAATACCCAAATAATGTGGTGGAAATGTGCCCGCTTGTTGACAATCACGTGGGCACGAAGGAGGGAACGGTGACTGATTCGCAGGGCAGTTTGCAAAGCAGTTTGCGCCCTCGTTCGCAGAGTAATTCGCTGCGTGACCCACAGCCTAAACAGTGGAGTGGTGAAGAGAGGGGGAGGAAAATCCTCATCGGCAATTGGAAGTGCTATCTCACAAAGAAAGAAGCATACCCACTAATTGACGCATTTACAAAAATAAAATATTCAAATTATCTCGACCTTGTTTTATCCCCTAACATATTGTTCATGCCCTATCTCCTGGACAAAATTGAAGAAAATAATTCGAAGATCTTTGCCTGCTCCCAAGACATCAGCTTGGCAAGCGGCTTAGGGGCCTTCACCGGAGAAACCACAGCCGATTTAATAAAACAGTTTGGTACAAAGTACACCATAATCGGACACAGTGAGAGGCGTCGAGGGTTTCACAGCAACAATGGGGAGACACTGGAACAGATAGCGCAGAAGGTACATAATGCTGTTCAGTCCAAACTGAAAGTTATCTTATGCGTAGGGGATGATTATCAGGATGAGCACAACCCATTCACATCATCAAAGACGAGAAGATTGCTTTCTGTAAGATTGTCGTAAATGGGAGGGGAGGGGGGGAAAAAAAGACAATATACTACGTGGACCACTTTGCGTGGGTTATCTCTATCTCTCCCCCTCGTCATACCGCCTGTTGAGTTGTGCCCGCAATTTACGCGCTCGCTCGCTCATCCTGTGCACCGCTCCACAACTTGCAGCTGATCAAGCAGACAATTCCGAAGGACGAGATGCAAAACATTATCATAGCCCTGGAACCCAGCTTCGCCATCGGCACCGGCAAATCCGTGACGGCTGACTTTTTGAATACCTGCTACTGGGGTGAGTCAAAGTGATGGGGAGACCCAAAAAAAAAAAAAAAAAAAAAAAAAGGATAAAGGAGACGGGAACCAATTGGGAACGGAGGCAGAATAATGTGTTTCAAGCGGGGTCTCAACTAATGTTTTTTTTTTTTTTTTTTTTTCTGCACGCCCTTCATAGGTGTGTTCACGTGTACACATCCTTTTGTGCCCATTCTATATTTTACCCTTCCTTTCTTGCTTCTTCCCCCCCCGCGTAGATATCAAGCGAAACGTAGCAGACGAGGTGGACACGGAAACAAGCGACGCAGTAAAAATCGTGTACGGTGGATCGGTGACCAGGCACAACATGCAGGTTTGTCTGCTCCCTGTGTATTTATCCCACTCATGCTGTGCTCGCCCCGTGTGTTTATCCCACTCGTGCTGTGCTGTGCCCATTTGTACATCCCACTCTTGTTGCTCCCCCCGCAGAACTACATGGAAGAAACCCCCGTTGATGGATTCCTCATAGGAAAGGGTTCACTGAACGAGACCTTTATTGACATAATAAAGTACGTTGACCAATCCTGCGTGTCCAATGCGTAGGTGTGGCTCCTGCGGATGGGGGAAGGTTATCTCCCCCCATATAAAAAATGCGTCACGTGTAGGAGGCGGCCGTATCATATTCGGTTCGGCCTCGCATGTTCCCTACGTTGCCATTCCCCACTGCAATTCCTTCCCACCTTTGTGGCATAAACAATTCGTTTGTGCACCTCTGCGCAATGCTGCGAACGGAGGCCACCAAAATTAAAAAGGAAAAAAAACTTAAATATAATAAGACGCATCACGTTGTGACAAACGCGCGAGTGAAGAGACGTTGAGTCGTCCTCACTGTGGCGTGGGTAAGAAAAACGAAATCGGTTAGGCGCCGTTGGGCGCAGGTCTTTTTTGTTGTCGCCATGCGCACACGCAAAGGGGGACAAAACAAACAAATGGAATACAAGCAGGGACAGAAAAAAAAAATGCAAAAAAGGCAATAAAAGGCAAATAAAAAAGGCAAAAAAGGGATAACTTAAGGTACACCAAATTATGTTGCATGAACAGTGTAGACGAAAAAAAAAAAAAAAAAAAAAAAATCACAATTTTATAATTTTAATTTTTTTCATTTTTTTCAAACTCTTCTTCTGCTTCTTTTCCTCATACTTCCTCTGCTGCTCGGCAGACATCTTTTCCACTTTCTCCTTTTCCTCTTGCAATTTTTGGGCTTTTCTCCTTTCCTGCAATTCTTTCAGTTGCTGTTTTTTTTTCAAGTCTTCCTTTTCCACAATGCTTCGAAGCTTCTTCACGTGGTCCCTGACCTTTTCTGATAACTCGAGGCAGTAGCAAGCGTCGATCATGTAGATTGAAAAATTTACCAGCGTCCGTAAGTCTTCCACATTTTTAGGGATAGCAAAATTCAGGAAGCAGAATTTATGTTTCCCTCCTTTATTACTACGTTGCTCCTTCTGGTCATTTGAGTTCTTCTCCCCCTTATCCTCTTCCTTCTCCCCATCTACCCTGTCCTCCGAGTCAAACAAAGCAATGTCGGTGATACACACGTAGTTTATGTACCTATCATAGGTATTCAAAAAGTTTAATATTTTTCCACTTAACACCAGATCCATGATTTCATTGGAGTCCCCCTTGATTTCATAACTTTGTTTCAAATCCTTTTTGGTTAATAATTTTGTATACTTATTCAAATTAGGGAAACGACAATCGATGTACTTTTTGTGATGCTTTTTATATATGCACAGAACTCCCTTGTCCAGTTTTTCAAAGTGAATAGCTATACTCATGCTGTCCCTTTCTTTTATAAAATGATTCAAAATAAAATACCTCCACAAACATTGTCTTTTGCATAAGTTTAAATTAACAAAATAATAATTACAGTTCTTTCTACCTGTACAATAAAACTCAAATTTGTCATATGACTTTTCAAATAAAAAAGATTTTTCATTTCCCAGCTTTGAAAAATTTTGAATAAAGATATCCTTGCATGACCTCAGCCAGTAGAGGGCGATTGTTCTGTTTGTCTTTCGGCCCACCACCCCATTCACAATGATCACAATTAAAAGGCAAAAAAAAATCCCTATTTTGAAGTAAAACAGGTTTTCGTTGTCACCTGCCCAGGACAGCATCAACTGCCGCGGGTCGCTCTCAGGGTCTGTCTCTGTCTCTACCTCTGTCTCGGCGCCTAAGGGGAGAAAAGCGGCATATAACACAGTGGGTCACAAGCGTATGCAAAATGTACGTGTCAAGCGAGAAGGGGTCTACCAAGGCAAACGTAATAGACCCTGCGCACTGCGTATGGAGCAACTCGCTCTATCTCTCACTGTGTATACCTGCAGCACTTTTCATCTGGTCCTCCTCTCCACGGTGGACTTTTTCCGACTCGTCCACAATTACTATATCGTCCACTTTGTCTACAGGGGGGTAGGGTAAAAAAAAAAAAGGAAAAATTTATAAGCAGCATCACGAAAAACGGTGAAGCGGCTTTGTCTCAGAGAGGAAACCATGCATATGGAGGCGAACGAGGTAACTCTTAAGGATAAATTCGATCGCAGGGAAGGGGTATCAACATGGAATCTTCCTCCCTGTAACAACCCCTCCACGCAAGGAAATTTACAAATGGAACTCTCTACGTATGGAGAGACAGACGGGCTACGACACACGCACTACGACCCACGTGCGTATAAACTCGTGTGGGGGGGCCTCCTCTTCCCTGGGGACACGTACCATTGTATGAAAGGGTCAGATAAAACGAAAGGTAAAAAACGAGGAACAAAATGACTGTTGTAAATTTGCGCATTTGTATAATTCGGTTTCGAAGGAATTACAAATGATAAAAAAAGGGGGGGAGGGGCTGAGTACACTTCCAATTCGCTTTTCTGCCAGAGTTTGGATTTTCTGTTTTTGTCAACTGGTACAAAAACATGAATGCCTCGTTTCCTTTAATGAGATCTTCTCCCCACTCCTTCGCTCTTCCGCGACACAATGCAATGTGAACAGAAGCCAAGTGATACGATATATATAACAACGCTGTTTGTTGCTTCTTCTTTTTTTTAATTTCCGTTTCGCCTAAAATGGGGGATCCCTATTTTGCTTGGCTAACTTTTTACAAGCTTTGCTCGGTTTGGATTCTTTCCCAGCGCTGATGTATTTTTTTACATCCAAAATTTTTCTTTTTTTCTATAACCATTTAGTGGTATTTTTCCTCATAAATGGTTAATTTTTTTTTTTTTTTTTTTTCTGGGGTGGTGGGAAGGCGTAAGGCTAAATTAACCAAACGGGTTTGTCACGACTTGTATACCATTGCAGCTTTTTTTTTTTTTTTTTTTTTTTCCGGGTTAATTCTCTGCACGCACGAGTAACCGCGAAAAAGGGGGCTGCATGCTGAGCATAACCCAAATGTCCTCTGTGTCCCTCATTTTATTATTTTATTTATATTTTTTTTCCTTTTTTTTCCTTTTTTTTTTTTTTTTTTGTGCATTTGTTACATGTATGCAACTGAGGGGGGGAGGATATAGGTGCATGTTCCTTTTCAATTGTGTGCTCGTTTTGCCCCCTGCCCGGCTAAAGAATATATATAGGTGTCCGCTCAGCGTTTAGCCTACACTGTAAAATAATCCCAGCATGAGGAGCGTGCAGCTTCGTTTATTTGCACACTACACTTTGCGACTTGGAAGTTGGCCCAGTGGATGTGTCTCGGGCGACGTTGCACAGACAGACGCGCCCCATATACCGCGTGTGCTGGAAGCGTTTGTGCATTTCTAGTGAGAAATTTCCCCTCAACACATTTTATTTTCCCGTTCTGTTTGTGGCATTTTTTGCGTCACGTGTGCGCGCCATTAATTTAACCATCGCTCACCCCATTTTTTACTCCATCTTTTTACCCAACTATTCGCCCCATTATTCATTCCCCGTGTCCTACCCGCGCGACGGTGTGCAAACGTACATGCGTACATATGCATACACAACTATACGCATGCTTAACGCAAGTGCGTTCACCTGTGCACACGAGGACGTCATAACCTCTGCGACGCGTCACGCTTTTGTGTGTGCATACCGGCAACTTCAATTGTAGAGGCACCTCTAACGCTATTCTTTTTGACCTTTATTATTTTTTTTTTTTTTTACGCCGCTGCAGGACGCCCCGCTTTGTTACGTTTGTTGCGCAGCAGTTAAGCACACAATTTTGACTGCTCCCCGTTTGAGAATTCCCCACGTGAGCACACCCCTGCTGCCCCCCCCACACTTGTGATACACGCCAATTTTGTGCCTCATCCTTGGATGTAGTCTGCACCCTGTTGTGTTCGCTTCTCACAGTATGTGACGGGGGCGGAGGAGACAAGGAGCGCTCCGTCGCGTGCAGCGTGGGGGAACCTGGTCACCTTAGCTCCCCGCCACGCCACCTCTGAACCGCTTAACCGTTCCACCATTTGAACATCTTTTAAACTTTTTTTTTTTACGCCCAAGTGAGAAGACCTGTCCCCATCAGCGCACCGTTCGACGTGTCTCCCCTGTGATTCACCAGTACATGGTACCTGCTACGTCATGTTGAGTCTCCGCACCCGATTCTCTTCTACCGTTGTGCATCATCAGTATTGAGGAGTAAAACAAAAAAAAGAGGGGGGGGGAGAAAGGGTCATGCACTCGTTTTATGTATAAGAAGCACACCCATTTGTAACTACGCACGAGTGGAACTACGCACAATTTGAAGAACACCCCGTTGGATGAGTGGCCCACCTGAGAACGCTCCCCCACCGAGGAAACCATGTTGCACACGCAGGTTATGAACCTCCTGGAGTGGGTGTCCACGAAAATTAAGGGGGCCAGCAACGAAAACAGAATATACCTCATCTCTAACTTTGAAGTTAAAAAGGAAAACCATGAGATGTACATAAAGAAAGCTCAAGAGAAGCTGAAGGAAGAAGACCTCAACATAGACCTAATATATGGAAAAAAACACAGAAATGAAATAAGAACAGCAAAATATAAGGTGTATAGCTTCCTGCCTCTAATCGTATTTTTTCAATTCTTACGTTTGGGTAATTTATATTTTCTGTCCATCTCCATGCTACAACTAATCCCTGAAATTACAGACTCCAAGGGAATGCCCACCTACCTCATCCCACTTGTCTTCATAATCGTTGTGGCTATGATCAAAGAATTTTTTGAAGACCTACAAAGGCATAAATCGGACAATGAAGAAAACAGTAAGAAGACCATGGTTTTTCATGAAGGCATTTTGAAGGAAAAAAAATGGGCAGATGTAAAGGATGGAGATGTTGTTAAAATATTTTCTTATGAATATTTTCCTGCTGATTTAATTATTCTGAATTCATCAAACAAAAAAGGAATTGTAAATATCGAGACGAAGAATGTAGATGGAGAATCTAACGTGAAACAAAAGTATTGTCTTCCTCATGTAGTAAAATACTTCCAGGATGATAATCATGCTGGGTACTGCCAAGCAGAATTAATAAGTGAAAGTCCTAACGATAACATTTTTGAGTACAAGGGACACATGCTCTTTCCTCCTCTTCAATACAAAAAGGACGGAGGGCAAGTTGTACATTTTTATGATGCAGATAGGGGTGGCACCATTTCTGCGGAGGACCAAGCCTGGGGCACAAAAGGGGAAAAAAACACAACGAAAAAAAATAATAACACTTATTATGATCATAGCGGTGAAGAGAATAGGGAAGGAGTCACCCCTCGATCTAATGACAAAGAGGGATGTGACCAAATCGATGCTGCTCCCCCCTGCACAGAACCCACGGTGGTCCAGGTCACCATCGACAATGTAGTTCTCAGGGGAACGTCCCTTGTAAACACCAAGTGGATCTATGGACTTGTTATAAACACAGGAAATAGAACCAAGTTGATGAAAAATGCTTCCACCAAGTCAAGGCAAAAATGGTCTAGATTAGAATTCGTGTATGGGAACCACGTCATCGTCCTCATCATATGTCAAGTGTTAATTTCCTTCATCGTTGCTATAGCTGGTGTTTTGTGGATGAGGAGAAAGGGCTACAACTTATGGTACTTAAATTTAGGTCATCAGGCAGATAGCCTCAAAACATTTTTTATAACCATTGGATCTATGATTCTTCTCTTTGGGTCCTTCATACCAGTGGACCTACTTTTGATTTGGGAGGTCGTTCGACTTTTACAAGGTTACCTAATAAATTGGGACAACGATATGTACAGCGCTAAGAGTGGAAGACACGCCTTAAGCAAAGCTGGTCAGCTACTTGAAGAAATGGGAAATGTCACCCACATTTATTCAGACAAGACTGGGACACTCACGCAGAACATTATGCAATTGCAGAATATTGGTTTGGGAAATAAGGGCATTTATGGGTTTTACGATTTTAGTAACATTAAGGAGAATATCATGAGGAGGCGCAGGGAGGGCAGTGATGACTTCTCGGACCCATTTGCCCCGGGCAGCGCAAGAAGTAGGGGCAGTGCAGGCAGCAAGATAAGCGCGGTAAGCGGTGGGGACGAAATGCCCACCAGGGACAGTGCCAACCCAAACATCAGCTCCGAGGACGGCAGCAGGGAGTCCTGCGAACTGCCCCCCCTCACGTGGTCCAAGACCTCCGTCAACCCACACAAGGAGAAAAAGAGCCTCATGCACAGGAATAGCCTCACCACTGAGCAGGCGGCCACAGATGTATACACAGAGGATGACTTCGAAAGGGGCGAAAACGATTTTGTTTTCTTCAACAGAATTCTCTTCGTCAACAAAATATACAGCATCAGAAATGACGTCCAGGACCAGGTGCACTTCCTCCTACTCGTCTTCAGTCTCTGCCACAGCGCGATGATAAGAAATGTAGACATTGATGAGATGGACGAGGGAGGGGCAGCGACGAACGAGACAGTTGAAGGGGGTGCGGTTTCGGCAGGGGTACCCCCCGTCGCTTCTACCGCCGCTGCAGCAGCAGTCGCTTCCCGTGCGTCATCCAGTGAAGGCAACCCGGAGAAGACCAAGATATTCGACCGAGAAACCATGATCAACTACACGTATCTCACACAGCCACAGCCGCAGTACGACGCCAGCTCACCGGACGAGTTGGCCCTGATAAGTACGGCCCTCTACCTGGGATGCGAATTCGTGAATAGACCTAACCTAACGACCATCGAAATTGAGTTGACGTCCACCTTCGCCCAGAGGTTCATCCTGGGGGAAAAGGCGTACAACGATTTTCTGCAGAAGAAGGGTTACTATGAAGACAATTTTGATGCGTGCTTCCCGGAGGTGAACTCGCCCAGGGAGAGAAGGAGAGAGTCAAGGATAAATGATGCTGCTGAGAAGGGGTGCGACGAACGGGGGAGTGCTAACCAGGAGAGTCGCGAAGAGGAGGTTGCCGGAGCCCCCTTCCTCATGTCCATCCCGATGAGGAATATCTTCTCGCAGAACAGAACCAACCCGAAGGAGGTGACCAAAAGCGAAGGGAAAAAAAGTAACAAGCGGGTGGTTATCCCTATACTGGCCTACGAAATACTTGACGTCTTCGCATTTGATAATGTGAGAAAGCGCATGTCCCTAATTGTAAAAAATGAAAAGAAGGAAATCTACATGCTGGTCAAAGGAGCAGACACCAGTGTGTTGAAGCTAGCAGCAAAAAATCAGGAGCATATCGTAGACCACGTGATGTACCAGCTCAATGCATTTGCTACATCTGGGTTAAGAACCCTCGTATTGGGATATAAACATTTGACGGAGGAAGAATTTACGAAAATGTATCAGGATCATGTGGAGGCGAGAAAAAGGTCAGAGATGAGTAAAGACCATGAAGGATGTTTAGGAAAGTTCTACGATGAAGCAGAAGATAATTTAATTATTATTGGCTGCACAGGGATTGACGACAAGTTGCAGGACGACGTTCCACAGGTGATACAGGATCTGCGAGACGCTGGAATGACCATATGTGTTCTTACAGGAGATAAATTAGAAACGGCCATAAACATTGGACATTCAATTAACATATTAAATAAAGAAACATACAACGCAGTGTTCACAGAAACAGACCCGAATGTTTTGTTAGAACAAATGATTATTCATGAAAAAAACACCAACGCAGCAAATTTGCTAAATGTAGACCATGGAACAAAATGGTGGAATAGCGTCAACTGGGAAAATTTAAATTTAGATCTACGATCAGAAACGATTTTGAATTTCATGAAAACTAATTTTTATGGATCCATCAACAAGAGCATCATATCATCTTCTAACATGTACAATTTGAAAAATGATAATTCTTTACCAGAACTAGCTAAGCAGGAAAAAATATTCAACTCTTTCCTTGAGTCCAGTGAATCATTTGCTAACAATTGTAATGATGTGGAAAAGAGCAAAGCTAAAGACAAGGTCCACTACTCACAGTTTTCTATAACCATCACTGGAGAAGCATTAGACGAAATTATGAAAAGCAAAATTTTAAAAATAAAATTTTACACTTTAGCTAGAAGTGCATCTACACTCATTGCTTGTAGAGTGACACCAAAGCAAAAGTCCCTTTTGGTGAAGGAAAATTCTGCCTTCAATCCAAGGGGAACCTCTTTAGCCATTGGAGATGGGGCAAATGATGTGGGCATGATTCTAATGGCTAATGTTGGGGTTGGCATAGCTGGCAAGGAAGGGTTACAAGCAGCCAGGTCATCAGATTTTACCATAAGTGAATTTAAGTACTTAAAAAAATTACTCTTCGTCCATGGAAGGGAATCTCTAAGGAGGAATTCCTTTTTAGTGTACTTTTGTATTTTTCGAAATGTGAGTTTTTGTCTCTGTTCGATGGTTTTGAATTTCTGGACAGGGTACAGTGCCATAGATGCGTGGAACCCATGGACCAAGCAAATCATTAACATCGCTTTTACGTCCCTCCCTGTTATCTTTTTTGTTGCTCTAGATAAGCAACTCCCTCATCGTATCCTCTTGAAAAATCCCCTCCTATACGAGACCTCTCCGTCCACATTATGGCCTCTTTACTCGAACAGAAAAATCGAATTCTACACAAACAAAATAAAAAGGGTTTACAAAAACGTTTTCCATTTTTGCCTGATCCCTTTTAGATTCATTCCCTTCTTTCAAAAGTCCACAAACAAAATGAAGTCCTGGATTGGAAAACGATCAAAACCAGAGAAGTACAGATCCTATGGTACTCATTACCTTTTCGTTTATTTACTTTTTGCCATTTGGCTAGCTACAGTAGAAACTATCATTATGCTACACTTTGCCACTGGTCAGGTAGACTCAGTAATTAAGGACCACCACAATGTAGATATCGACTTCCATACCTTTTCACAAATTCTTTACACCCACCACGTCATAGCAGTCAATGCAGTCGTTGTACTTTTAACCAACACATGGTTCGTCATTTCTCACATTGTCCTGTGGATTGAAATTATTGCAACTTTCTTTTTTTGGTTCATCGTAAGTAATACGAAACTCTTTTTAGATATTATAGGGGCTGATGAATTACATGGCACATTTGAAAAGGCACACTCTTCAGGAAATTTTTACCTTTCGATCCTCGTCTCCCTGTACGCTTCTCTCTTACCTTTGATTCTACTTATGACGTACCAGTTCATGAAGAAACCTACCATGGAGCAAATTGTCCTGGAGCAACTCAAGCTGGGTAAGTTTGAAGGTCTCCGGAAGTATGAAGTTAAGAAACTCGCCTACATTGACAGCAAGAACAGTTCTCATGTCTTTTCGCACAAGGGCTTCGCCTTCGCCGTCGAGGCCAAGGAAGCCTTTTGGGGCCTCGTGCAGAAGGCCATTTACAAAATTAAAATTCCCCTCGCCAAGGACGAGGCGGGCTCGGCCAAACTGAGGCGCAAAAATTGAGCTCGCCCGCGGGCCACGTGTATGCCGTGTGTATGTCACGTGTATGCCACATATATACCGTGTGCACGTATGCTGCGTATGTGCATGCATGCCACTTTGGAACCATAGCTGCGGACAGAGAAATGGAGCCACTCCATGTGCGACATCAAATGCGACATTGTCAATAGTTTTTTTTATTCCCTTTTGGGGGGCGCGCCGAATCATCGTTGGTACGGCCCTGCACGATGAATCTACGCTCCTTTTTTTTTGTTTGTTCAACCATTTCGCGGCGCTGCGTAAGCATGCACCCACGTCCATAAGTCCACGCGTGTGCGTGTCCGGTTTTGTTTCAGTGTGTGTTACGCTAGCCGCATTAGCAGTTCCACCCCTCGGGTTGTTTAACTTTTACATTTTTTTTTAATTAGAAATGTAGGAAAATTTTTTTTATTTTTTTAACGCACGCTAGGGTGTACAGAAAAAAGAAGCAAGCGCAAGGCGCACGTTTCGGGAAAAGAGGGTAACAATGTACATAAGTGTGCATATTCATTCGCACAACAACACATGTGCGTGCTAACATATATGAGCAGGTTGTGCCGGGCCAGATGCGCCCCTGGACACACGGCGGCTAATTTTAAGAATGTGTCATGTGTAGATGCGCGGGACGAACGTAAACAAACGCAGCGGAACTGGAAATTCACTTCAGTTCGTTGCCTTTTGGAATTCCCAAGGCGTGTTATCCAGGGGACAAACTTGTCTGGCCTTAATCCACCTCGATATGCAGTGAAGGTGAAAGGCATGATTGCACACACCCCACGCTATCGTGCAACTGTCCTTGTCCATTTTCTTGTCCTTATCGTTTCCATCATTTTCGTTTAACTTTGCTTGACATTCGATGCATAAGTCCATAATGTGGTTTCTGCAAATGGCACAATTATCTACACTGATGTCCCAAGACCATGCCGCCACACCTGACCATTTGTGAATTTTAAAAATATCATTGTCTTCTTTCTCTTCGTTCTTGGCCATGCTGCCTGATTTCTTCGTTCGTGCAGCAGGTGTGCGCAGCAGAGGGAAGTTGTGTATAGAAGGGTGTTAACCATGTAAGCAGCGTTCGCACAGTATGCAGCATACTCAGCATGCTCTGCGTACTCAGCGGTGAGTGCTTACGGGTTAAGGGGAAAAAAAAACGTGTCGGAAACGGGCCTATGGGCTCGCTTGAAAATCATGTAAGATAGGGGGCAGGGGATCTTTGCCGAGGTGTGCTTATGCAACAGGGCGATGGTGTAATGTGTAAGCATGAAGTGTTACTCCTTAACAGTGGGCAAGGGGGGGGGAGAGTAAAAATATGTGGCGCGTTTTCCTTCTGCAAAAATTACGCATTTGGTATTTTTACGAAAGGAACACGTTTATGCCCCCCAGCTTACAAGCACAGGAATGAAAAATGTACAACTTGTTGATCCATCTTTCTTTATATTTTCTTTTGCTATGCTTAACATTTTGGAAACGCTACTTCATTTTTGGTGTGTTTTTTTTTTTTTTTTTTTTTGCTACTCTACCCTTGCAGCAGCGTGTGCGTTATTATAAAGGGTCAAATTCCGTAGAGAAAGCCGCCTGACAAGAAATATGCCTACTTCTACCAAGGCGGGAGCGTGTGTGATTTTCGTCACTATCAGGAGAAGCACACCTTGTTTGTGAAAATTGGCCGACTGACCGCTTACGTCAAAGTATGCACCTACAAAACGACCGCCACACATTTCTGCGTATGGGCGAATGCACACAACTTCAATGGAGAGAGCTACACAATGTGATTTTGCCAATCGGGGGCAAGCATGACTGTTATGTGCCCCCACCAAAGGATGATGAAGTGTAAATAAAAAAGAACTGGTCAAGTCGATACCGCTAGAACTTGAACCTCACCCTCACCCTCAACTTCCCACGCAACTCTTAGACGTGCTGAACATTTTTCAACTAGCCAAATGGAGTACTGGAAATGCGAGTTATTAAAAAAAAAAAAAAAAAAAAAAAAAAGAGAGAATGACAACACATGTGAGCGAAATGTGCCGTATCAACTGAGTAAGCCTGAATGACTCAAATGGGGAAATGCAATTCCGTGGCGGCCCTACCACCCTCGGTCATTTTTAAGCTTCACCAACAACATGGGTTTGCAAAAATGGTATATTGCGCAACTTTTCAAAATTAGAAAAAGGTATGATCTGTTCAGGCAAAAATGAAGAAAAAAAAAAATAAATAAACAAAACGATGGATTAAAAAAAAACCATGTGCTACCAAAAAAACGCAACAAAACAGACAGGGTGGAGCTGCCGACAAGACGGAGCACAACCGTAATGGGTATAGCCCCCTCCGCAAGGCGAATCACGCCAAGTCACATCTCCACCTCGGCAGCTATGCTAATGTGATCACTGGGGTTTATGGGAGACAACACTCCCTTATACTTCTCGAAGTTTTCCTTGTCGATACCCTTCAGTACCCGTCTGACCTTAAGCCCCGGTGACAAAAAGATGTAATCCAAAACGTCAATAAAGTTATTGTTCCAGTTGGTGTAAGCAATGTCCCCTTTTTTATATGCGGAATATAAGGGCAGGAATTTTTTCCTGTCCAAATGGGGGCCAATAATTTTTTCATTATTATGCTCATTTTTTGACAAGTCAAATAATGTTGGGTATTTATTCAAATCGTCATATTCCTTTTTAAACAATTTGGAGTTTATCCAAAGGTCCGAATTTGAATCAATGTCCTTTCCTTCGAGGAAGGAAAAAACTTCTGACTCGAAATTTGTATTGAAATCTCCATTTAGCACTACATACACCGTTTCCCCCAATTTCTGTTCATACAGTTTTTTGAGCATTTCCAAAATGTGCAGTAGGCTATACGACTGTAATGCTCTAATATGGCTAGCCAAACTGTGGAAATAAAAATGTGTGTTTGCCACGAGAAATATATTTTTGCTGCTCCTATGTGTGTAAATACCAATCTGAAAAACGGTTTTAATTTCTTTGATGATTTCTTCAATGTCATTGCCCAAGTTGATAAAGGCATCGTACACGTCCTTCAACTCTGGAAGTTTCACCACTTGGTTAAATTCATAATTTTTATATTCAATTAGGGCAAATTTTTTCTTATTAACAAATAAGGAACAGCCGTCATTTCCATGGCTGTTCTTTGGCTTGTACGAGGAATAAAACTCGTCATTCAGGTACACAGAGAAGAGGTTGGAATGCAGATGTTCGCTCACCTCTTGCAGGCAAATAATATCATAATTGTAACTGATATCATGAATTAGCAAATGTGATCTGTAATTCGTTTTCAAATAACGAGGGTCTATATTTTTAAACATATATTCCACGGCGTACTTCGTGTTCGTATATATAGGTGCAAGAATGTTGTACGACAAAATGCGTAGTACATTATCGCTGCAGGGTCCATCTGTCTTTAGCACCTTCTCAAAATGGAGGTACCTTTCTCCTTTCCTTTTTAGTTCCTCCTCAAATTCGTTCGATAGCACTTCTATTTCATTCGTCACGTAGAAGAAGAAGGGCTTCTCTTTATTATATATAACAAGCTGAAGTCTTTTGTTTGTGTCTTCCTTCCTCGGCTTGTAAAACAAATCGCGTGATTGGACCACTTCCTTATCGTGCGCATATGTCCAGTAGTGTACATACGAATGTAGGTCTTCCACGGGTGCATTCACGGGTATTATGGCGTGCCCGCTATACACATCCATGGATATATAAATTTGCTTCAGATCGTACAACCCTTTGAATACTTCTATTTTGTGCTCATTAATGAGGACGTAACTTAGTTTGTCCACCACATTAATCAGCAGCGAGTTGTCCTCCACCAGGTTATTCTCCTTGTCCAAAAACTGGATGTCATTTGGGGGGTCCTCCTCCTTTTTTATTGTGGAGTCATCCCCCGTGGGCTGTTCCACACTTTTGTTGTAGTTCATACTTGGCCGCTTCTTTCTTTTTCTGTTGGACTTTTTCATATTTAAAATTAGCCTATTTATTAACGACTTTACTGTCTCGTCTTTTTTCCTTAACAATTTGAATTCCCTAAAATGGAAATACAGCTCTATGCTATATTCGTCATTTTCTGTTTCGTTTATTTTCAGGTAGCTGCAATTTTTCCTTATCTCTTCCAGTTGATCAACGGTGAAAGGTTTTCTGCTTTGGCCACCTTGGCTGTTTTCTTCGTGCACATCGCCGTTCTGTTTTCCTTGGATCGACATGTCTGGCGATTTATTTACATTGGACGATATATCCGAGAGTGCATCGGTCTGCGCCTTTGGCTTACTTTCGTTTATTACCGCAGAATCGCGCGCGGGCGCACTGCCCCCCACGGCGCACATTTTGAGAAGCAGGATGTGCTTTCTGCTGCGCGACTCGTGCTCAAAGAAGGTGCTGTCAATGGGGGCTCTACCAACGGGGCCAGTACCAACCGTGTTGTGGACCTCTCCCCAGCTGGACTTCCCTAGCACCTTCCCCGAGTCTCCCGAAAGGACGCTTCCGTGTCCCCCCTTCGTCTGGAGGTGACGAAAAAACAACCTCGATCTGTTTGGAACGCCGTGAAAAGGCTTCGACAACAGGAACAGGACGGGGAATTTCCTGTTCCCTGCACATGCAGTGATTTGTCCTTTCACGGGATACCCGCTTCTGTCACTCTGTTGTATTTTTGTTAGCCGCGCATGCGGAACATATTTTACGATTGGCACATTGCAAGAAAAGCATGCCGCCACGCCTTTTCTGCAGAGCAAATGAAAAGATATGGTCAATGCTGCTAGGCACATAAGTAAATTATGCCTTCTCATCTATAAAGGATTGCTCAACAATGGTTTTTTTTTATATTTTTTAATTAGTAGGCTTTCTTCATTTTTTTTGTGGTTTGCTTGTCCCCATTACGTATTTAGCTGCGCGTATGTACGTATAATACCCCGCGTTGTGTGCTTATAGAAAGCGAGGCAGGCATTTCATTTACGTCCATTTCTTCAAAGAAGGGAGTTATGCCTTTTCACTATTATAGGAAGAGGAAAACCTGCAATATTCTCAGCTGAACTGCCTTGAAAAAATATAAATGCCCCCCATGTTGTGGACCTTTTATTTTTTATTGTATTTCAACCCTGTAGGGGCTGCAAAAGGCAATTGCCATTGCTGCATTATTATTTTTTTTATTTTTTTCCCGCCTTTTTTTGGAAAGCTAATTTGTTAAACAACAAATTATGAACAGATTCTCAAAAAAAAAAAAAAAAAAAAAAAAAAAGTTCATATGTTCAGGTAATTTTTTACCCAACTAGCCATTTAAGGGAAAAAAGCATATGCACAAAATTGAAGTGGCGCAATTGATGAAGGAAAGGACAACAAAAATCGGATGGAAACAGGGAACAAGCGTGAAGGAAATTGCAGCCCGTAATGGAGCATGTAATGGAGTACATAGCAACATTCCGCGTGTGACGGTAAGGAACCAATGAAGAGATTGATGAAATAACATTGCCAGCAAGCCCAATAAATGCTGTCGTCGTACATATAAAAACTGAGCGTAACAGTAACTCGAAGGCGAGGGGTACATTTGGCAAGGAAGAAATGTAAATATAAAAAAGAGGAAGCGGTACTCGTTGGAAGATTTGAAAGTGGGAATGCGTTCCATTTTAGCACCCTCTATATAACGCTGCAAAGCGCAACAGCAACGGCTATATTACCAAGGTTACCCCCCCGTTAGCTACCACGACCGGAGCATCATGTCAACGTTTGCTAGACGGAGGATAATTCAAGATTTAAACAAAATCAACAAGGATCAGAACAAAAGCTTTGAGGCCGCCCCATTCGCAGACAACATCATGTGTTGCCATGCAATCATTAGGGGCCCAGAAGATACCATATGGGAATGTGGCATTTTGCATTTAATCATTAATTTTTCAGAAGAGTACCCTGTAAGTCCTCCCAAAGTAAAATTCCTGTCAAAATTATTTCACCCAAATATATACACCGATGGTAATATTTGCCTGGACATTTTGCAAAATCAGTGGAGTCCTATTTACGATATAACATCGTTGCTGACGTCTATTCAGTCTTTGCTGAATGACCCGAACACGTCTTCCCCCGCGAATCCCGAGGCAGCTCGGATTTTCATTAACAACAGGAACATGTACAATAAGAGAGTCTTGGTAAGGCGAACCGTTACATGATAGTGCAACAGAGCATACGTATTCGCCACCGTTTTTTCCCCCTCCCTTATGCCACTGCAACTGCATGTGAATTACATTTTTTTTTTTTTTTTTTTTTTCTTCCCTGAAGATGTGTGTGGAGGATAGCTGGGAAATACCCAAATTTAACATGAACAGCTTTAGTTAGGAAAGAGACATCGAAGAGGCAGCTATGGGACGCAGGGTAGGATCATATTATTTGAGGATAAGAAGGTGAACAGGGCATGTTCCCACTAAGTTACTCTGCGAAGCAGTTTGCCACTGGAAGAATACCAAAATGGAAGGGCGTCGAAGATGGTCTTCCCAAGGAGAGGACCCTTCTTATCATACAAAATTTAAAATGAACAAGTGAAGGGTGTGTATCCCCCACACAAGCACCTCCTTTTGTGGGGACACATGAATTGCACGAGTTTTCTTCTGAGTGCCGAGTTAATTCTCCAGTCAATGTCTCAATGTTCCCACCGAATATACATCCTTTTATGGTGACCAAAAAGTTCTTCCCATTTGTCATACAGTACGTTTGGATTCCCTGAATAACAAGATGGAGCAAAAAAAAAAAAAAAAAAACAAAAGTAAAAACGAAAGAAGAAAGAGGCCAAAAGGGATAAATGCCGAATAGGAAAAACTAAACGTGATGTCCTCCACATCTTCCGTTCACTTGACACGCTTTCACTTTTTGCGAGGGTGATAATTGTGCCCTTTGAGTGACCCCGCTGCGTCAGTTTTTGTGTGTATAGTAGAAGAGGGGGAAAAAAAAAAAAAAAAAAAGTATCTACACCCGTGCATACATTCCTGCTTGTGCACATATCATGTACACTCCTCAAATGACGGGAAAAATATAAACCAAAAGGAGGGGAAAGAACAAGGCACCACGAACGAAGTAATGGGAAAGACTTGTCTAGCATAAGGGGTGTGGACCTATCGCATACAGTGCGTTGAATTATATGTGCAAAAGGTTAAGAAAAAAAAAAAAAAAAAAAAAACATCAAATTTGGCAGATTTAATGAGGGCGTCCATTTTGGTAAATTTGACCAATGCGTCCCGCGTTAACCAATTTAGCTATCCTTTTTTCTTTTTTTTTTTCGTAAACTTTAACACATAAAACATTTCCTTTTTACGCGTTTATTTTTGAAGTTATTTTCGCTGTTCATTTGCCTATCCCGCGCGAGGGCTCCGTGCGCATAGGTGTACATGGGAGTGTATTCCCCAGCCGATATCCACTCCGCGCCGCTATAGTAGCTTTATCGTCCCGTCGCCAAAGTAGTTTATCGCCCCCCATGTCCATACGCCTTTCTATTCATGTGCCGACCGGCTGTATGGGCGGGGGTTACTAAGGGGGGACACAAAGTAGTGCAGTTTACGGAGCGCAGGAAAATGTATACACAGGTGTACGTCTAAGGGGAAAATGCCCCAGTATATCTCTACCTATATATATTTTTTCTACCTTTATAATGTGCCACATGTAGGCTCATTTCTCCCCAAGGCAGCAAAGAGCACGACCTCCCAATTACGCAGACACCTGTCTGCTCACATCCGTTGGCACAAAAGAATTTTATTGCTTCGAATAATGGTTATTAAAAAAAGGTGTACTGAGTTACTTTTTCCCGGTTACCCATTTGAAGACATACAGGGGGTTACAACCATCTTGGAGGAGACCCCCCGTTGGAATTAATTCCACGGGTCTACTCAGCACGTCCCACCTATCCCTAAATGTGTTCATCTGTCCACGTGTGCGACGCATGAGTTGTATACGTGGAACCGACTCTGTGGAGATAAGCAGCGACCACTCTTTTCCTCTCGAGGGAATATAATCCCCTCACCCTATCCCTGACCACACACATGTGTGTGCAAATTCTCTAGCCAAAAAGGGGCTTATAAAATAAACGCTTTTGTATTACGAAAGGGGTTGGGGGGGGGAAAATAAAAATACAATGAGTGGAGAGCTCACCAATATAATTACGAAGAGCCGCGATGGAGAGGGCGGTAAAAGTTTGGAAGAAATTTATGTGAATTATAAAAAGTTGAAACAGCTGAACGGGTTGAGCGCGGCTAACGTGGCGAACGAAGCAAACAAGACTAACGCTGCTCCCCCCGCGAACCAGGACATCGTCAGGGGGCACACAATCTTCTTTGAAGCGCAGAGTGAAGCGGGCGAAAACGAAAAGGAACAAAACGGGGCCGCCGTCCTGCACAACGATAAGGAGGAAACCAATTTAAAAAAAAAAAAAACAGGCAGCGAAGAAAGCCGCGCGGAGGTGGCGAATGGGCAAATTGTCAATTGGACCCCCGCTTCCTGTGTGATCAACAATGACGCAAGGGAAAATAAAAAAATAAATGTGTTAACCATTTCACCTGAATTTCACGACGTGAAAAGGAACTACAGATTTACACACAGGAATAATTTGCACCTGAAAAAGTCTCTAAACGATGAGCCTGCGCTAGGCGATGGCAACAAGGCCTTCCTAAAAAGCAGCCATAATCTGACCAGCGTTCCGCTGCTGACCGGGTTTGGCGCCATTCGCACTGCTCGGGGCGAGGAAAGGGCAGGCGGCAAAAAAAAGTTCAGCCCCAATAGTCAGGCAAACAGCATAATCAGCCATAATGACCGAACCCTAAAAATATTTTGCAACGCAAGGGAAGACGGCGCCAAGAGTAGTAACCCCGCGGGTGGAAATCGAAGCCGCGGCCGACCGCAGGCGGGCGGTGGCGGCGCCCACTTGAACGGGAGCGGCGCGCGACCGGCAGCGGCCATCCCCAGTGAGAAGAAGCGGGCGCCCAAGAGGAAGGCCGCAACGAGTGCAACCAGCGTGATTGGATCAACCAGCTCAATCAGCGCTGCCAGGCTAGAAGTCAAGACGAAAAACGGGACCATGGAAACTAAAAGTAAAAACAGACTCTCAGTGACGAAGAGCCAAGCTAACAAAAACGTAATGGACCACATCAGTGAGTGCCCCATAACGTCCAAAAATATCTACGACAGCATTTACATCCCGCAGATTAACATAAAAAACATTTTCAGTGCGAATTCTAGTGGCGGGGGCGCAGCGACGTGCACTTATAATACCACCTCCTGTGCAGACCCTGCGTATAGCAGCAACGGAGAGGGAAGTGCGTTGAAACGGGAAGACAGTTCTAATCTAATAAACACTCTAAATGCGTACTCAAACGTAAAAGTTGCAGTGAGAATAAAACCCATTTCAGAATCAGAAGAAAATATCGTGTCCATATTTAATAAAAATTATGTCTTAATAGAAAAGGAAAACCAAAAAGAGTGTTACCTACTGTCACAAAAAAAAAAACAAGCAACTTACGTATTTGACGTCGTGTTCGATGTGAATGCAACACAAGAAAATGTCTTCCTGCACACCGCGAAGCCGTTAATCCCTCACGTGTTTAAAGGAGTTAATGGAACCGTTTTTGCATATGGGGCCACGGGTTCAGGAAAAACTTACACTATGCTAGATGACAAGAACCAGAACGGGATCGTACAGTTGTCCCTCCTCGAATTATTCACCATCATTAAAGAAAAGAAGTATGAAAAGGTAAAAGTGCTTATGAGTTTTTTAGAAGTATATAATGAAACAATTAGGGACTTACTGGGGAAAGAAATGAACAAACCATTGGAGGTGCAGGAAGATGCAGCTGAAGTACGTGTAAGTAATTTATGCGAAGTGCATGTGGAAACGTATGAACAAGCAATGATGCTGATCCATGAAGGAGTGAAGAACAGAAAAATGTCTCCCACCAGAGCCAATAAAGTTTCCAGTAGGTCTCATGCAATTCTACAAATATATATTCATAACGAAATTATGGACAGCAATATGAATGCCATAAATTATAAGGCCAAATTATGCTTCGTCGATTTAGCCGGTTCTGAAAGAGCTAGTGCTACGTCTAATAAAGGGGAAAGATTCAAAGAAGGCTCCTACATTAACCAGTCCCTCCTTGCCCTAGCCAACTGTATCAACTCCCTAGCGTCTAATAAAAACATCCCAAAGGTCAGAGTCAAATATAGGGATAGCAAATTAACACACCTTCTAAAAAATTCACTGGAGGGAAACTGCCTTGTCGTGATGATTGCCAACATCAACCCTTCGAGGAAATCTTTTCAGGAATCCAATAATACCCTCAAGTATGCTTTTCGAGCAAGGAACATCAAACTGTGTGCAACGATTCAAACGAATGACAATAAAGAAAGTGACGTGGAAAAAATTTTAAAAAGAAATGATCTCCTGCAGAAGGAATACGATCTCTTACTTCACAAGTACAATAGACTCAAGGATTGCTTCGCCAATTTGAAAGTCCTTTTTCAGCTCTACAAAAATGTACACCATTGTTACGAGCGAAAGGAAAACGCATTGGGGAAAGTGTCTGTCCTTGGACTGAAACAAAATATTTCTGTGTATGAACAACTCATTAAAATTAAGTCGGAGGAAATTAAACACAAGTTTGATTCCCTCCCATCGGGAGATGACCAGGATGATGTCTCGTTGCTAAACATTTACGACTCTGTTGTGGACAAAGACTTGGATCATTTTATTCGCTCCAATTCTTCTGCGTTGACTGGGGTGGAAACTCGGGGAAATGACCACGCGGGGGACTTACCCCCCCGGTTGAACAGACAGGCAGACATGAGTGTTCAGGGGGGGGAGCCGAACGGCCTTCCACTCGGGGCAACTGATGGGCTAGAGGGGGGGGCGGATTGCGTAAATGGGGTGCAACATGGAGGGGGTAATATCGCAGCACAATTTCCCACATCAGACGTACCAATCACAACCAGCAGGGTGATTACATCCGATACACCCACCGTGATGGTCGCAGAAAAAGGCGCCACCCACGCTGATGATTCTAACCAAGGAGAATTGGTGGAGCGGAAGAACCCAAGCAAAAAGCAACAGTTACAAACCTTCCAGGACAACCTCACCGATATGCAAAACAGCATTTTGATGGACACAATTAGTAAAAAAATGGAGACTTCCTCCCACGCCCCCATAATAAAAACGGACGTAACGCAGTTATTCCTCCACAGTGGCATTAATACAAATCCCCGTCTCGTCCTAAATGAGCAGGTGGGAAAAAATATCCTCACCAAGCTCGAACCACATGGGATCCTAAATTACAAGCAAATTTTAAATAACAATAATAGGGGGCATCATAGAGACACCACGCAGGAATATTCCAAAGACGCCTCAAATGCGACAACAGGAGGAGGAAGCCTTTTTAACAACCCTAATGTGGTGGAAAATAATCCAGTCCATGTGGCGGACGATTTTGCAGAGCATCATGTAGAAAACTTTTACGACGCCAATGCGATGGACAGTGCAGGGGCAAATATCATTGCTAATCCTATGGAGGTAGCTAGCACAAGCGATGTAATAAAATTGGGGAAAGCGAAACGTCAGCCACTGGTAGGCAGGCTAATGTACAACAATGAGGCGATTAGGAGCAGCAAGAGGAAACTCGCGCTCGCGGACGAGGAAAATATAAAGCATGAACACCACGAAGAAAACTCTTCATCAGTCAAAAAAAAAAAACTTAAAAATGAGAGGAAAGTCAGGTAGCTGTGTGACCGCTCCATACTTCGCTCTGCATGGGGACTGTCTCTGCGAGCTCCGAGTGGCGAACCCTCCCTTACACAACTCACTTCGTCTTTTTTGAAATGGGTTCATCCCTACACAAAGTGGAAAAATTATACCCTTTTGATCACCCCATGGTGATACAACTTTGGCCGTGGCATGTCCCAATCGGAGAACACCCCCCTCTGGGTCCATCTCCCCAAAACGTCGGAGACGCAGATCGGGCAGAGAAGTATATATGACTAGCCTTATGGTGTCCCCAGCATTATTGTCAGATAAAGTGAAGAACAAAACTGCAGGACAGATATTTGCCCGCGTTAGCTCTCCCTTCGCCTATCACGCTGCCCTAATTGAAGTGGGGATGCTTCCTCAATTTTATTTATCACGTGACTAGTGCTATTGCGACTGCTGCTACCCCCCCCTCATATAATGTTTACGTTTTGGCGCGTGTGTTTGTTCTCCATCGCGCGGGGACAACTCCCCTTCAACAGATTTGTGTTAATAATGTTTACACGAGTGTGATACCCACATAAAATACATACCTACTTATTTTTGGCACTTCAAATTCTCCCTCCCCCTTCCTGCGCAGCGGGGCCTCGCCGACTTGTACACGTATATATGCAAGGTTTAGCAGCGCATCTACATTCTCTTTTTTTTTTTTTTATGTACATTTAGAGGACTAATTTACGCTGCTCTGCAACCCCGTTTTATCATTTTTAAGTGAACCCAGCTAAACTAGCCTTTTTTTTTTTTTTTTTTCTCCCCATTTTGAATGCAACAAAAAAATTCGCTTAATTGCAGGGAAAAGGCGACAGAGTGATGCGCCATATGGGTATCACATTTTTGCGATTTGCAATAACAGGTGAATAAGAGCCATATACTATTTTTAAAAAAATATATTTTTTTTCGGTGAAAACATTTTGATGGGAACATCCCCCCAGAGTAGTGTGTTCCCAATGAGCATGGCGCGTACACGTTCATGCTTGTATGAAGCTCGTCTGTCTCAAATGCCACTTTAATATGTTTTTATTTTCTTCAACCACTGAAGAAGCTTCATTTTGAAGGTACCCACAATCCTCACATACCTGTTTCTTCTTTCCCCGTTCATCTGTACCATTAACAAAAAAATGACACACATGTTAGAGTGTCCATGAACAAATCTTCAACTGTGATGGAACACCGCTGGGCAAATGCTAACGGATTAGCGCTGTCACAGCTGTGAGATACGCTTGTCCCACTTAGCGGGGGTAGCAACATAGAGGAACAAACGGAGAAGCAGCAAAGACCAAGAAAGGCTACGCAAAAATGGGTATATTTGATAAAATCCGGAGCGTCGAGAAATTGAATGAAGCGGAGCTGAAGAACATTGGAAATGATCAAACTTCGTGGCACGACCAGTATAAGGACTCCAGTTACATCTACATAGGTAGGTGATCCGCTGGGCGGTAGCAACAGCGGGGCCGCTATAGTGATGAGAGAGGCCTTCTCGTCACTTCACCGCTGCGTACGTCGGAGCGCAACTATACATATGCTGGACCGCAAATTCCCCTCCCCCTGAGCAGGCAACCTGGACAGCAGACTAACCGAAGGAGACATCGTTATCGTATTTTCGCAATTTGGCGAACCGATAGATGTGAACCTGGTGCGCGACAAGGAGACAGGTAATTTGACCACACTGCAAAAAAAGGTGGTTGCGAGGATTGTCCACTATAATATCTGCAGGTGTGATAACAGTATCACCATTTGGTGAAGCACTTTTGCTGTGTGTTCCTTCATCTCCCCTGTGTGCGCCCTCCCCCTCCCGCAGGAAAGTCCAAGGGGTATTGCTTCCTATCGTACGAGGACCAGCGCAGCACAGTGCTGGCGGTGGATAATTTTAACGGATACAAGCTGCTGGACAGGCCTCTAGTGGTTGACCACATTTTAAATTACAGGCTCCCCCAGAAATATGCCAACGACGATGTAACGCTGCACGCATTTACATGTGCATATATTTGCACGTGTGTACATGTGTACGCATATGTAGATAGAAGCTTATGTGTAGTGCCATGCCTTCGACGTCCTGCTAGCTCCATGCACACCTCATCTATTCGCATCCCTCCAATTTTTTTTTTTTCTTTTTTTTCTCTCTCCGTCAACCCCCCTGCAGGGAGAAAACGAATACAAGCCAACCGGTGCCGAGGGACAAGGAATCGGCGTGTACAACGTTGTCGAGAGCGAAATAAATTTGACCAAAGCGTTCGATAAAATTCGGAATAAACAGAGTGAGGAAAAACGGAAGAAACTGATGGATGAAGATGAATTGTGGGCCCTGAACTTTGAAAAATCGTTAAACAAAAGGGATGGCAAAGGAGAAAAGGAGAGTGAAGATCGGCGGTCCACTTCGTCCCACAACGTTGCAGAGAAAAGAAAGAGACGTCATGGAGAGAGATCCGTGTCGCCAAAAAGGTACAAACACAGGGATAGAAAACATGACGATGATATGACCCACAGACGTGACAAGCATAAGTCTCACCGCAAAAAAGGGGAAAAATCTCGCAAACGTGAGCGGCGTCCACGTAATAGTGATAGCAGTGGAAGTAGCAGCAGGCGTAGCAGCAGACGTAGCAGCAGCCGCGATGATAGGAAAAAGGGAAAAAGACGACATTAAGCACAGAAGAAAAGACATCGCGCAGCGGTGGGATTAACAAAGGTTTGCGCAAAAAGAAGAACGATATGGTGTGTTCTCGTTGGGGAGGGGTAATCGGAATAAATGTGCGAACAGGAGGAAGCAACAACACACCTCTACACGCACATGGACAAGTGTTTTGTTCGCTCGAACGGTAAATCCCCCCGCATGTATGACCATTCCCTCGTGTGGCAGTCCCAGAAGTGAGCATATGTATATGTGCCCTTGATTACATTTGTTGTATTTATGTGTGTGCAACGCTTCTTTTTAATTACCTGACCTGTTCATAAAATTTTGACGCTTTTTTGTATGCATTTTTTTTTTTTTTTTTTTTTTGTGTACGGCTAGCTGATTAATCCTAACCCTTCTTCGATTGGATTAATAACGGTTTACCCCGTTTTAAAACAAATTTAAATTTAAAAAGGTGTTTAGTTACTTGGAAGGAAAAATCAATCCGTCCCTGGCTCAAAACAACAAAATGGGAAAAAAAAAAAAAAATATTGCCGGTCACGCATGTGTAGGAGGTGGGTCGTTCCATTCGAATAAACCACCAAACGTATAGATAAACATGTAAGAATGCGGACAAGTGCGGTGGATGTATTTCCTTATGCACATATATGATTAGAGCATATGCTTATGCGCGAAATGTGCCCTACGTGAGAATAATACTTCAGCTGCATCAGGCACATGAAAATAATGTTACGAATAAAAGAAGCATTTCCCCCTGTCCTCTATCATTACGCCCATAGCACTTTCCCCTTTTGCGCCACGCGACTTCACCCTAACCGAAAGAAGCCGCGCTACCTGCGTAAAACCAATTTTATCTCTAGCTTAACAAAATCTTCGCATCGGAAAAAAAAACAAAACCGCCTGGTCATAATAGGCAAATTGGGAGAAACACGAACATAAGAAACCGAACAGGTTTACAAAAAAAAAAGAAGAGAAAAACAACAGAAAAAGTGAACAAAACAAAATGGCGAACACATACGACGAGTTGTACGTACCCCTCAGCTACTACATTCTACATAACGAAGGCAGTCCAGCGGGCATGACTAGCCAGCAGTTGGGAAAAAAGCCTGGCAAGAAACCAGTCATCAACAAGTAAGGCGAAAATGGGCACACCGGAAATAAACCGGCGGAAGTGGACAGGCACACCTATGGGTGACAGCATGGCAATTGGCCTCTATTGCAAGCTCCGCATTGTTACGCGATGCCCATGCGCAGCTTGATTATTTCTCCCCCGCCCCATTCCCCAATGTGTACAACATATATGTATATATTGCGTGTGCCCCTAGTCATACCGCCGCTCCTCCCCAATTCGGCAGGTCCTCTCTCATTATCGACATAAAGCCATACGGAGAAGAAACCAACCTGGACGAAGTGTTAAAACTAGTGAAGAATGTTGAAATGGATGGGCTCACATGGGGAAAGGCGCACAAAAAGGTGCCCTTTGCATTTGGCCTCTTCAAGCTACAGGTAATATGCGCTATAAACAGGTGCACTAGCTATATGAACATTGTCGCGTTTGCTATGACATCCACAGGGTTGTCACCACATTATAATCACCCCCCCCCTCCCGGCAGGTTTCCTGTGTCATCGTGGACGACTTGATAAACACAGACGAACTGATCGAGATGATTGAGAATGTGGGGTTAAGTGAGCAGGACGTTAAGAAGAAAAAGGAGCTTCAAGAATTGATGGAGAGCGAACAGTTGGATGAAGAGGTTGAAGGGCTGGTTCAGTCCGCCGAGATTATTTCCTTTAACAAGTTGTGACCTATTTTACAGCCCGTCTCTGCGCGAGTGGGCATAGGCCCGGAGCACAAGTCTATCCAACGGAGGGCACACACGGAAGCACATATGTACATACATAAGCGAAGCATTTGCCCACCTCCGTACAAGGAAAGCCGCCTGAGAAAAGCATCTCGGTGAATTATGTTCCCATGCCTTTTTTCACAACAGTGGGTCCAAATGGAAGAGGGAAATTTACATGCTCAGGGAGTCGCGGGAGTTTTTACAACCCCCATGCGCGGTACACATAGTGTATACTTTTGGTGTGCTTAGAAAAAAAGGAGTATAATTTGCGCCAAAGTGACGCCTTCCATTTTCAACTACCCAACACGAGATGCATCCGCGCGAGGCACACTGACAAGAGGTTTACACAGCCAGATTTGAAGTGCCCACCCTAAACACAACCATTTGGAAGCAGCACGTAGTCGTACATAAAAATAAGGAACATAAACAAAAGGCGCGTAAAAAAAGAAACAATTTTCACGTAAGTTGATCCTATGGCTGTGAATGGAAATAAAAGGTATACACTACATTTGGGCAGTCCCTTTTGGTTCGTCCGCGCGACCGTTCCTTTTTTTTTTTTTTTTTTTTTTTTCAATTTGCATGTAAAACGTGAACCCACCAAAATTGTGCGGAGCAGAAAAAGTGAAAAAAAAAAAAAAAAAAGAAAAAGGAAACAACTGAGCAACAGTGGCGTGGTGGAAAAGTCGGTAAAATTATTAATATAAAATATCGTTGTGACAAGAAAATTAACAGTGGTAGTGAGTCGTAGGCGTAGCATAGGGATTCTGTGGGGAATTTAATAGGCGAAAAAGCACCTTTCCCAGAACGCCGCAGTTTCTGTATTTACCCGCCCGCGTTTTTTCCTGCATTTGCGCCTCTTTCCGTTTATACCAGTTTTTTCTCCGGGGTTTCTCTCTCTTTTTTTTTTTTTTTTTTTTTTTTTTTTTTTTTTT